TTTTTCCAGAATCGGTGCCGGTCTAACCCCTCCCTATGATTTCTTAGATATACCTCTATTTGTCATCATATTGGGGAGCTGATCGGTTTCTCAGCTTTGGAATTGGTTTTTTGGGTGTGCCATTGGTGACTCCAATTTGGCGTGGATTTCATGGATCATTTTTGGGATTGGTATAAAATCCAGCGTTTATGGTTAAGCTGAGCTGAGTTGAGTTTTTTTTCTGGAAAATATCACTTTCGTCGAAAAATCTATTTATGCAATTCCCTTTTGATGGTGATTCCGTGATTGTTGCCATTCATATGATTTTGTTTAATTTTAATTTATGGTAGTGTGATATTTGATTTATTTAAAAGTGTCTCATCATTTGCCGTAATTAGAGAAATCAGACAAAACAAAAGTTTTAAAAAATAATAATTGTACAGGTGGCTGCTGAGGTGGCTGCTGAGGTGGCAGCACCAGAAAAGAAAAAAGCTATCTTTATATATATAGATTAGTTATAAAATCTTTGAATAAAATGGTTCGGTTTTAGAATTATTTATTAAGTTGTGTCCTTGAAATTTGTGACTAATTTTAAACAAAGTTCTAGTGAAGATTTATTCAGAAATTCTGTGATGAAATTCGAACTTCTAGTACCTCATTATGCACAAAATATTGAGGTTGTCATTATTTAATTTTCTTATAATTTTTTTTTTGTTTTTCATTTCAAAACAAGAATATTCAAATTTCATTTCTATAATGTCAGTAATTATTCTCCAGAAACAAAAATAAGTTTAGTAAAATGGAAGGAAGAAGAAGTCAATATTGAGTTTTCCCATGAAGAAAAGTGGAGACAAACACACATTATTTTCCAGAACATATTTCCATGAAAGGAAATTGCGCAAATGAACGGTAATCTAAAAGAGCATTGACTCTCTTTGCTATAAATAGAAAATGATTCGGCATCAACCTAAGAACCAGAGAAAACAAAAAAGATGACAAACGCATCACAACATGCGAAAGTAAAATATAGAAAAATAAAGTTGAAATTTTCTACTTTGAGAATGATAATGAGTGACTGATGAGATTGTAACCAACGAAATTGGGAACAGAAGTAGATAATATAACACATAATGAAAGCACTCAGGGGAAAAGCAAAATCAATGCCCACTTTTGTAAGAAGAAAAGGATTCAATGACTAACCAAAGATGAAACTTTAATTCAAGTCTCACTATAAACAACTTAAAATGATTCACGCAGAAAAAAACCCAAAATGGGGATATGATAATTGTTGCTGTCTTCTTCATGGGTTATGAGAAAGAAAAATTGAAAGCAACCTCAGAAGAAGCCAGCGAGTCCTTCCATTATAGTCATGTGGTCCTCCTGATAATGGCAGGCCTAGAGAGAGAGAGAGAGAAAGAGAAAGAGAAGAGAGAGAAAGAAGAGAGAGCATGGGATGCTCGATAAATTAGGTGGAGAAGACGGCATGTATAAATGGAAAGAGTGGATAACAATGGATGACCAAAATAGGAGATTTTATTTACAATGAGAGAGTTTCATCTTTCCACGGAACTCCTAACTTTGTACTTTGTCTGTATATACGTATGTACGTGCATATATCATATATGTACATGTATTCTTTATCTATTTTACCTTTGTATATATATATTTTTTGCGTATATATTTGTGTAGTGTAGTACTTTTTCAACTATTGTGTTCTGCTTTAATTTCATACATTAACAAGAACATATAACTTAGTAGTTTGTTTTCATTGTCAACCTCAAACTTTCTTACAATCCCTTTTTTGTGTGTGTGTTCACTCCTTTAATTTTCTACATATTGTGATCAGTGACCACTCCGTTAGACAAGGCATATTCTTTTGAAAGTTCAATTTTGTTTTAACAGATTAATCATTCAAATAAATTTAGTGGTTTGTATTAATGAATCGTATCATAATATCAGTTTAATATAAATAATTTATGTGTTATAATGATCAAAACAGAAAACTTAATAATTAACACATCACAATGCACCATATAACTCAACTTTAAATGTTGGAATGACACATTATCTTCTTTTAGTATAGTATTCTCTTTTCTGTATAGATAAGATATTTCAAGCATATGTTTTTCTTAGTTCAACGTGGAAAAAATAAGAGAAAATAGTGATACAAAAGCTTACAAGATAAGCACGAGAGAGAAAGAAGTTCTCTTTTTAGCGAAAACGACATGTAACATATGTATGTGAGAGACGAGAGAGAGAGTGTGTGTGTGAGAGTCAAAAGAAAATAAAAGATTGGTCGCTCATTGCATACTGAACAGTGAACAGTGAGCTAAACCTCTTTCCTTTTCTTCCTAAAATTATTGCACCTTCCTTTTCTTAATTAGGGTTTCACAATGCCACGTGTGACCCTCCAATTTGATAATGAAATTTTATAATCCAAATCTCCAATTGGAACAATGTCATAATTACTAACTAACCTTCTATAACAATTTACTTCATATTTTCTTCATAATGAAAATTAATGTTTTAGAATAGACGGGTTTCGTGATGCAAGCCATAAATTTTTATTTATTTTATCGTTTTGAGGAGTGATTCTAAATTTTCATAGGTAGAGATAGACGTTAGCGGATTACTTGCAAAAGTAATTCCAATGCTACGTCAAAACAAATGAATAGTTTTTTTTTATTAAAAAAAAATCAATGCTTTCGTCATTTTTGCTATTTGAACTCAATTGGATCGCCAGTAGTAAGTCGACGTAAGCAAAAGGGGACCCCTGTTTCAAAAACTACCGGAATTTTATATTCTAGTTTTGATTACTCAACTTTATAAAATATGATGTCGCTTAATTAACCATTCGTTTAGAATGATTCTAGAATTACCACATGGAATTAAAGATAATTTCTTAGGGTGGGTGTTATATGAGTATCAGGCATTTGCAAATTGGAATCATGTTAAAAAAAAAATCTTATGCTATTCAATCATAAATTTTGAAAATTTATATAATCCAGTATTATTGGTTTTCATATTTGTAATTTTTTTGTATTCAAGGCTGTTTCACTGGTAATTTGAAGATTTGAACATCTTCAAATACTCTATTGTTATTAGAAATATCTAAGGTATTACTACTTGTAATGATTGCAGAAATGTTTTATAAGATTTTAAGTTTTTTTATAACGAAGAGGTTTTATATCAAGACCCGTTTTATCTTAAGATACAAAATTAAAACGTATGTATGGCCATTCTCAAATGTCACTCTAACATGTGATTTTGTACTTCACCATTGTTAAGTATATATATAAGATACAAAATTTTCATGGTTTTAAGTGCTATTTCAAAAAAAAAATGGACAAAAATAAGATTTCAAAATAGCAAATTATAAAAACTCTCATAAATTATACTAACTAAAATCACCTAAAATTTATTAAAACTTAATTCATTTAAAATATTTGGTTAATTACAAATTTCAACAACTGTATCTGATGTTGGAAATGCAAAATTGCAAACATTTAAAATGTTACTTTCTTTAAAAATAAATCTAAAATCACCTAAAAAAAAATTATACTAACTAAAATCACCTAAAATTTAACAAAACTTAATTCATTTAAAATATTTGGTTAATTACAAATTTCAACAACTGTATCTGATGTTGGAAATGCAAAATTGCAAACATTTAAAATGTTACTTTCCTTAAAAATAAATCTAAATTTTTTTCCATTTCTCCTTAAATCCTTTTCCATATAAAGGAATTTATATAAAAGAATTTATGGTAGCTATTTTTTGCATAATTGAGAAATTTTCTTTATTTCTTTTTATTTCGTATCCAACTTTTCTAATTTTGATCTTTTTAATATGCAACATTCTATCTATTTTTTATTAGTTGTCATTTTCATTGAAACTAGATATATATTATATCACTGCCTTCCATTTTGTCATTTTATTACATCCTTCTCTTTGTTTACTTAAATATGTGAAATGATATAACTAAATTGATAGAACTTATCTAACTAAACTTTACATGTCTATTTGGTTAGTAAACAAAGAGCATTTCATTTAAAGCGAAATCTTTATATAATCATTAGATATATAAACATAAATGTGTCAATATATGTGTCAACAAACAGAACTAGCCCAAAATGTAAAATATCCTATGAAATTCATTAAATTTTATTATTGTTGTACCAAAATCTAAATTTAATAAATATATATCTATGATGAACAGCTCCATAGTGAAATATTTTATTTGAACTAACTATTGTTAGGCATATCTTAAATCATACAATAAATTCTAAAGATTATATAATCATTAATTTGTTGATAGCTGTCAACAGTTTTATATCTAGCAAAGACTTGATGTGATCTCTTATCTAATTTGTTATACTGAAATATCTCAGAGAAATCTAAGAACATGAAAGACATGGTTCTATAGTTATTAAAACAATCCTTACAACCCCAAATAAAACAGAAACTTATCACATTTTCACAAAAACAAAACGAATATATTTTTTTCAGTAAAAATTAAAGAAATAATTTCCTCCTCAAAAGCGTACCCTCCTCCGAATGGATGTTGTTCCTTCCCCCATGATGATATCTCTCTGCCTCTCTCTATAGGTTTCTCTCTCTCTCTCTGTCTCTCTCCATTCTAATTCATAGCACATAGACTCATTTAAGTACATTGCCTGTGTTGTCTTTCTCAGCCATAGTCCTTTACTTCAATAAAGGTACTCTCTCTCTCTCTCTCTACACATTTAGATGACACAAACATAGATTCTCTTGAACAAAGACATATTGTAATATTTGACTAATCACTATTACTGTTCTTTCTTTCATTTTTCTTGATTTTTGCAGGTAATTTTGATTGTCTTCGTCACTGGAACAGTAATCTTCTCTTTGAGTTTTTGCTTTCTCTCATTTTCTTCTCTTTTTGGTGCGTTTGAAGTAGATTTTGGTACAAGTGTCATTCTCAAAAGTTTGTTTTAGGGGTTTTTAATTTAATTTGTTGCTTGAAAACCCTCTAAAAAGACATGAACAACAACACTTTCAGTACTACTTCCACCAACAATGAAGACTACATGTTATTCCCTTATAATGACCATTATTCCTCACAGCCCATACTCCCTTTTAGCCCTTCCTCTTCCATTAACGACATCTTGATTCACTCCAACTTCAACACACCAAACAATCATCTTGACCATCATCATCCTCATCATCAGTTCCTACAAGCAACTAGCTCTCCTTTTTCTCAATTCGAATTCGTCCCGGATTTCACCCTCCTCGCCTCTTTCCTCCCACAAAACAATGGCCATTATGATAACCAAACCATCACCACCACTGACCATCATCATCATCATCCATCACTTCTTCCCTTGAACAATCCTACTGGAGAATCTCAACTCGTTGAGCCTTCTGAAACCATAACCCACATAGAAGATTGCCAGAGATTCTCAACTTCTCAAGACCCTGAAATGAAAAGACTCAAGAGACCAAGCAGAAAGGACAGGCATAGCAAGATCAAAACGGCGAAAGGGACACGAGATCGTAGGATGAGACTCTCATTAGAGGTTGCCAAAGAATTGTTCGGGTTACAAGACATGCTTGGCTTCGACAAAGCCAGCAAAACCGTGGAGTGGTTGCTCACACAAGCCAAACCTGAGATCATAAAGATCGCCAAAAGCCTTTCTAACCACGGCGGCTTCAGCAGCGGCGAGGAGTCTCAAACCCGTAAGTATACATTCATTCTTTTCTAATTTGAAGTCTAGTAATTAATTAAAATTTCCATCATTTATGAAAATATTGATCTTCACGCTTAATCTGAAATTGTAACATTTAATCAAGAACCGGCGTTAGGATCAATGGACACATCCTCTGATCTATGCGAACTTGCATCCATGTGGACAGTCGATGATAGAGGCAGCAATACTAACACGACCGGTACGTACTTTAACCGTTGGTACTGTTTTACAAATTATACAGTTTCAATTTTCTATAAAAAAGTTATATAAGTTCGGTTTGCATTAGAAACACAAGGCAACAAGAGATCGATGAGAGGGAAGAGAAAGATGTCGCAACCTCGAACGACCATCTTGAAGAAGTTGTCTAAGGATTCGAGAGCTAAAGCAAGAGAGAGAGCAAAGGAAAGAACAAAAGAGAAGATGATGAAGAGAAGATTACAAGTAAATGTTGTACAAGAAGAAGCTCCTAATCAATATGGTGAGAATAATAAAAGCGATGTGAATTGGAGTTCTTTTGATCAGGCCACGACCTGCGAGGAAGAGATGGAAGAACTTTGCAATAACGATCGTTTTGCAGTTCGCAATGAGTTTTTACTGAATAAGAAAGATCACATTTCGGACGAAGCGTATGATATGATCAACAAATTGAATTCATCATTTCCAATGCTTAATCACCATCGCAGCCAAGGCGCGGCTACTTCCATAGAGGTACCTTATATTCTATATCTACGACTCAAATTTATTAGTTTTATAGAGTTTTTTCTTTTCTTCTAGTATATTATTAAGTTTTATATATATAGGCTATCTGAAATCTAATATAGCAATATGTACGAACACCAATTCATTAATGTTATATATAGATTAGGAGTTATTTATAATGATCATATAGTTCCACATCAAACTAAGATTCAAAGCGCCATTTTTTTTTTTAATTGACTTATATCATGTATGATATTGCCAAATTTCATCGATTGATTTGTTTGGTTATGTACCTTGCAGCAGCAGGAGCAGTTAACGGATCTTCGTCACTTCTTCGGGAAACCAAGAGACCTCATGTACAACTACCATAATATGTGTTGATATCGACTTATCGTAACTTCTCAAATTAAACTAATAATAATTTATGAGAGAGATATGTGAATTTTAAGTTTATATGAAGCCTTTTTCTTCTTAGCGTCACATATTACATGGATGTAAAATAATCACTGCCGTTTTCTTCTTCATTTTAGTGTCACATATCAAAACAATGTAAAATGTGAATGCCTTTTGTTTTTATAGTTCGCGACTTCGAGTGGAACCTTAACTATTATATGTACAGGTATAGCATTTAAACGCATTTTTTTTAATATAATCGTTTGCTATGTTTCTGAGTTTTCGTCTGCCTTTCGGAATTCGAAAATTATAAGAACAAAGAATGACAAATTGATGAGAACAAAAAAAATATAAGTTAGAATTCATGATTTCATTTTTTCACTCTCTACTGATTCTCTGTTATGAGTCCTGGACGTCAGTTCTAGTAGCTAGTCGACCAAGCCACAATCAAGAATTTCAAACCCTTTCAAGTTTATCAACTTAAGTGCAACAACTAATGAAATGGCTAGTGAACTTGTGATAAATCAGAGACGTTATCACTTTTTAATAAGTTTTCTATTCAAATGATGTGATGCTATTTGCTTTGTCTTTAACAAATGATATATAGTATCTGTAACATCTGCCCAGATAAACAAATGTTTTGGGAGTACATGTAGTAAGTTTACTTCTTTTACAATAAACCGAATTATTAGGAGAGTTAGCTTACTCAATTCAGACTTAAAAGGATATATTATGTATCCAAACTAGAATTCCGTACAGATCATATATATTTAAAATTTCATCGAATTCTATAGAGTATACTTTTGGATAGAACTATACAGAGAAAAAATATTAAAATTTTATCGAATTCTATAGAGTATACTTTTGGATGGATGTACAGAGAAAAAAAAAATCCAAAAGGACGATTATGAACATGATGTTCACATTGTTCTTTTGACCAACATAATAAATTATACATATGTAAAACAAAAAGAAATATTATTATATATAATAACAATAAGCTTGTTCTAATATAATAACAATTACATCGCCATTCTGGTAGCATCAACAAGAAGTCGATCACTTTGATTCGGTTCCACTTGCAGATGAATTTATGATTAGCTGTCAAACCTTGAGTCATTTCAAACATGTCGTGAATCGTAATTTTTATTAAAATATTTACTTTCTCTTGATTTTATTTGAAATTGATTCAGTTCTCAACGACTCATGTCTCATAGTTGGTAATTACTAACAAACTCACAGACTCACATGTTAAGTATATAGCTACTGCCAAACATAAAAGACAATATGGGGTAAGAGATTTTCTGTTTTCTTTGGAATGTCAAGTTTGCTTTAATTGTATTTTGTTTCTAGATAATTGTAAAATGGAAGAAGAGACTACAATAGGGAACAGATTAAAATTTTCAAACAAGTCCCAAAGACAAAATGTCAATTTACAGAAAGGACTATGATAATATATCAAAATGATTAAAATGAAATTTTGTGAAACGACAAAAGTAGGATAAATGAGTAAAAAAGACAGTTGACAAAAGGATAAAAACGAATAAGTACACCAAGAAAAACAAAGGAACATTACTTATGCGCTAAAACATACTATCTTATTTGTTTATAATTACATAAACTAATCGACAAAAACATATGCTTATGTTTATATTATATCAACTTGCTAGTCGACGAAAAGATGTGTCTACATATATCTCTATAATAATGTGAAGTGTAATGCCAAACAGAAAAGCTCAACAAGAATGCAGATGTTTAGACTCTAGTCAATCACAAAAAAAAAATGTAAAGTATAATTTCATCAAAAGTATTTTGCGTTAAATTTTGAATGCCTGGTGAATATAGTACAATTCTTTTTCTAAATAAGCAAAGCACTAGCAAGGATGAAAAAAAAAATGATAAAATAATGGGAAGTAAATTCAGAGGATTTCTACTTCCTAAACCATATATTCTCAAGGAAAAAAAAATGGCATAAGAGAAAATGTAAAAAGAAAAAGAAAATCGACTGTTTGGGAAGAACAACAAAAGGTTGAAGTATATAAATAAAGTGGCCCCATGCCTATATTTGTCAAGATGTAGATAACAATACGCCTCAAAGAGTAATTGTGAGAATGAAAAAGAAAAGTGCCAATAACTAAAAACCCAAATTAAAAAAGTTAAATTAATTCATATCTTTAGAGAATGAAAAAGCCAAAATGGACAAATGCTCGATTTGGAACAACTAAAAGAAGATTAATTTCCTTCAAGAAAGACATATGCTCAGAGGCAAAACAAGAACCAAATAGATCTGCAAGATTTTATTTTTCTCAGTTCCAAGCATGAGCGAGATCAGTTTATTAATCGCGTATTAACATTAAAAAATAAAGTGTATTTAGTCGGAGCTGTAATAATACCCTTTAAAACCCTTTCTCAAAGAAAAAAAAAAATACCCTTTAACAAAGAAGAAGCTGTAATAAAACCCTAATGATGGAGGCAAAAATATTAGAAGAGAATAAAAAAATGATGAAGGAAACAAAAACCCTAAGATCTGATCAGTTACCAGAAACAAAGCAAAAAAAGAAAGAAGCCCTAGATCTGGGTAGTGAGAAACCAGAACTTTGACTGTTATTACAAGAACCAAAAGAATCCGACCACAAATGTACTTGTTAGAGATACAGATCCAGACAGATATATAGAGAATGAGACCCAGAAACTGTAAAATTAATTAGCCCGACATTGTCCTTTTTTTTCAAACCCAACTAATTAAGAGCCCTAGAGAAAGAGAGAGAGTGTGGCTTTGAGCGACAGATACCAACCCTAGAAGAAATAGGAATAGAGAGAGAGTGCTGTACGCATCCGGCATCAATGGCGGACTTTTAGGGGTTTCCGGAAAATCTTGTTGATATTTTCTTTTTTTTTTTAATAGATTTTTGCGTTTTGTTTGGTTGAACCAAATGGAGAAGTGAGTCATGAAGACCACCAGTCATATCCAGTAGAGGGAAGTGACTCATTAGGCTAATAAGGCTAATCTTAAGTATAATTTTAGACTTAATTCTTAAAATCTTTCGTATAAAATATTTTGTTCACGGTGATATTTAGCATTGACATATTATTCCTGGTTTTTATTTTCTTTCCAACATAAATGGTTTTTCTTTTTAATCAAGAAATATCAGATCTAAGCCCATATTCTCTTCGGATTCGAGATCATATGAGCTTGATTAGACTTCTTTTCAACTATCCGTTGTCTGAATTTGAGTCTTTTCTTTCCGACTTTTCTTTTGGATGGCTATATACTACATTTGTATTTTTTTTTCTTTCTCATTTTTATCTCTGCACACAAATTTTGACTTTGAATCAAGTTAGTTTTTCATTTTTTTTGTAATTTCGTAGTGCGCTTTTTTAATACGATTGTCATGATTTTTCACTACTATAAGAATTTAGATCTCCATTTAAGCTTTTGATGACATTACATTAAACATGAGCAATTTAGCTAGACCAGATAGTCAAATCATCAATAACCAGATAATTGGCATAAGAAAAGGGACAAGTAATCACGTCTATAGTTGCTCCTTGGTTCTTGCTTCTTAAGGTCTAATATTTCATTTTTTGTACAATTTTTTCGGGTGTCTAATCCATAACACTCAATTATATGCTGTTTTCATGGCCGGTCTCTTTCTTTTATTGGAGTGACTTCACTAATATAGCTACGCATCCCCTAATCCCTGCGAACTTGTAAAAAGTGTAAAGCCGTATCCGCCAACTTCTTCAGCTCAAATAAAGACGATGTTGTAGCTCTATGTTATATTTTCCTAAAATTGTATGGGTCTTAACTACATTAGCTTTATGTTATGTTAGCCATTAAGGTTTGAAAATATTATACGATTCATCCATATCCAATGGATCAATATGGTAGTAGATGAGCCCATTGAGATTGGAAAAAACAGGCCTGAAACATAAAATCAAATTCAAATGTAGGTCTGTCAACGTGAGATAATGCCCAAAGGTTTTATGGCGTCTGCCTTGCCACGGGTCAGATGCCAGATCTACATATCAAATGAAACTAACATAAATAATTCATAGTTCTCGTGTTCTCACTTCTCAGTTTTTATAATTTAATTTAATTCAATATATGCACTTACTGATTGTTTGGAAAATATATTTCATACAGACGTGTTTGTGTTTTTCTTTTAATTTATAATTACATGTATCATATATATAAGAATATTAGAATAGCTTCTCCCAATCAATTGTTTTTAATATTGAAGGATTGTAAACAGACCAAATTAATATCACAATATTATAAGCAATACTGTATAATTAACTTAAAATTGAACATCAAAATCTGAAAAGCAAAATTTATTCAGTGCAATACGATCTAAAACCTACACTACGGTCAACTTTTCTTGGATACACGTAGTGACAATATTCACATATTTGCTAATTAATTTGATTTTTTTTTAAAGGATTAAATATTTTGAATTACTTGTTATGTATTAGCTTTGAATTATATGTTCTGGTTTAAATAAAAGTTTTCTTAATAAGAGGGAGGCTACCTAACACTTGAGGATATCGTGCTTCCTAACTCCCCTTCAACAGCGATTCTTCTTCGTTAATTATTTGTACCAAACTATTTGAACTTTAAGGTTCAATTGTTTCTATTCATATTCTACCAATTTTGTTGAAAATGCTGTTCTTTATGCACATATATATCGCATTCGAGAGCTTTTGGTAATAAGATAGGGGTGTCCAGTACTACGAAGACTCTGACAATTCATAAAATAAACAGAAAAACAAATCAAGAAAACCAAACTTGAAGCGAAACTTGATTATAGTGGGCTAATAAAGAAATACGTACAGGTCGTTCCGGTCAACTACATTTAGCGTCCCTTTGCTATTCTAATCAATGAACCTTAATTAAAATTGGCTAACCACCAACGTAAAATGTTAGGTGTTTTTCTATGTGAATGATACGTTAATTTTTGTTTTTAATCAAGTGGACTATTGGACTAATGAGATTAATTTATGGATACGCCGAAATCCAAGCGATAGAATATGATATTGATGTGAAAACGCCAAGAAACGATTGCTCGTAGTAGTAAAAAAAACTTCAAGTGGGTATCATATTTGCCTTAGCCCAAAGCCCCTAATAGGGTAGTTCATAATATAACAATTAAACGAACACACTAACCCCCAAAAATCGTATGCAACTTCTTCTTACAAAACTACTGTAACAAAGATCATACCAAAAAATAAAACTGTATTGTAACAAATATATAAACAGATTGAGCTGAGACTGAGTCAGAGTTTCACAAACGAAAACGAAAATAGAAAACCTCGGTGGGACCTTTTAGCAGTCACCGTCGTGTTGTGTTGATGTTCAGTGGCAAATTAAAGATCAAGTTGATGAGAAGCCGACTGGGTCCACTATCATTAACCTGACCCGATCCGAATCTGGTTCGCGAGTGCTAGACTTAGACACGTGGTTCGCAACACGTAGAGGATAATGAAAGGTCGTGATCATAATATAACAACACTTTACAATTGTGACTTAGGATATAAACACATTTACATTATTCACTTTACACATTTGACATTATGAGCAAGTTGTTCCAGAGCTCGTATTTAGAAGTTCTTTTTCAACCAACTTTTTTTTTTTTTTTGTAAACTCTCGGAAAATAAAGATCTCATCTAAAGTTATCTGTCATGCTGCATAACCTAACAAATACAAATTGGGTTTGGCTAAATTAACCCTTTTTCGTCAATGACGGAATCAGCATTTCTGAGCCGTAATGTGGTTATATACCCATATTTAATTAATCAGCCATATTTGTGGTTTGAATTTCTATGATATTATTGTTAATTATAAATGGTGATGCCTGACGCATGTTTGTTGCGATTTTGTGATAAACATGGAAGGAGAAATTATTGCACATCAGCCAACACCTAACGTTGAGTGGGGTTTTCACTTCAATTTATTGTGTTGATGATATTTGCCCCACCAGTACTAGTGCTCGTCTTTGAAAAGAATTATAATCAAACTTTACAAAAAAATATTAAAAAACAAATATATAAAAATGATAAGGATGAGCTGACGAAATATGTTATACAGCAATTTATAATAATTTTTACTTTAGAACTCACGAATTGAAGCAAATACTTTATCAAGGAATAAAATTGAAACACGTTGGAGTTTTATCAAAAGATCGTTGATGCATGTCTCTCGCATGCTCGTTTGGTTTAATACACAAAACATATCAAAATAAAGAGAATGCAATCATAAATCGTCCTAATCATTCATGCATTAATATCATATTATATAAAACGAGATCATCACTGACACAAAGAACCAAGAAAATGTCAACATAATAAAAGATGTCAACGCAAAGGCTACCGGATTAGCCGGTAAGCTAACACCCTTTGGACCTGTATTTATATAAATATACGTAACCCCAACCAATTCAAACGAAGAATAATCTCATTAATATTTTATCGTTTGAGACTTTGAGTTTAAACCCACTTTTCACTTGCCGGAGAAAACGACGGAGAGATGGAGAGATCGACGCCGGAACATGTCTCCTCCACCCACAAACGTTTAAGCGTGAGCTTTCTTGTCTCTCTCATGGTACTTTGTGCAAGACACGCAAACAGAGTCTCTAAGAAGCTTAAACTCAAGCCTACTAAGAAACGAAATCACCTCGAAGACTATCTCGAGAACCCTAAATCTAACGGCGAAGGAGAAGGCGCCGGAGGAGGAAGGTTTGGATGGAGTCCGGCACGTGCTTTTTCGCCGATGAGAACACGTCCTAAGGAGCTTTTGACGACTCTGAGCAACAAGGCAATGACTATGGTTGGCCGGAAAAATAAAGCATACGACGGTAGTGGAGGTACGCCGGCTGCAAGAAAGACGGCGGCGGAGATGGTGGTGGAGGAGGACGAGGAGGAGTACGGTGTTTGGCAAAGAGAGATTTTGATGGGAGGAAAATGTGAGCCGTTGGATTATTCCGGTGTGATCTACTACGATTGTAGTGGACATCAGCTAAAGGAAGTTCCTCCGAGGTCGCCACGTGCAAGTCTAGTGCCGGATCGCCCGACCCGTTCTTATGTTGGGTCATTGTTAAACCCGACGGGAAAAGAAATTTAAATTTAGTGAATTTGATTGATGTTCGTTCTGTTTTGTGTGTTATCAGGTGAGTGTTAAATTTCGCTAGAAGTTACTTTGTTCCCTTGTTATTGATAGATGACATATTACATGTTTCAGGCTTATTATTGTGTACTTTATACAGTTAATACTTTTTGGCAAATTATAAAGTTTTGTGGTAGTATTAAAAGATATACTAACGGCTCAGTTACAGCCGTTCATTACCGGGACCATAGAAAAAGCGACTAAATATGGTTGAGTTACATTTGTATTTTTAGCTTTCTATTGCGGGTATGTGTTATTATTTATATATGGTATGATTAAACTTTGAATCCATTATGCGGTAAAACAAGGTTCCAATGATGATGGCCTTAATTAACCGTGTTAATGATTACTAATGCCAAAATAATTTCCTTTGACCAAATCAACGGTTGACGTCCGGCCAAATATGGGTGTTGACTTGAGGGCCCGATGCTTTTTGTCTGCTGACTTTGACCTCAAATCATAACACAACGAAGTCCATCCAAACGATTCCACCTTTAGATTCTTAAATATATCCCTAATGTCCTGTTCTTAAATGCTGTCTCGAGTATTTAAATAATATGCAAAAGAAATAAAAGGAAAGTGTTGTAAGATTATAAAGCCTATACATGAATTAGTCTTATATTTTGTACACTGGTATTGGTTTGAGAGGATGAAAAGATCATTAGTTGGCTGCTATAAAATCTTAAATCGAAATTTCACTCATGTAATTTTCATCAACTGTCTTTTTTACTCATTTATCCTACTTTTGTCGTTTCACAAAATTTCATTTTAATCATTTTGATATATTATCATAGTCGTGGGTTGATTTATGAACTAAGACAATTTATTGTAACAGAAATTTCTTTGCCCTCTGTAGCTGATTTAACCTTCAAAGAATCCGTCCGTTTTTATTTTGGTCAGAGATTCAATCTAGTAATATAAGTATATAACACCATTCAAAGATAGATAATTGTCATGTTCACAAAACGTATACTTAGGGCTGCAATCAATAAAATTATAGGAATACAAGGTTCTAATTAACTTGAGTAGTGTTTTTGTTTTTCAAACTTTGACGAGGCTATATTATCAAATCATATAAATAAACTTCGTTATTAGAAAAAGGACACAACAAAGATGTAGTATGTTCTTCCCTAACGTATGAAATAAGCAAGGAAGATACTCCTATCAATCTATCATGCATTGCTTAGAAAACGCGATCTTATGTAGTCATATTATATACTTTCGTGAATCTTCAAAATTTATAATTCAAACATAACCGAATGAAATTTAACACACGCACCCAAAATCTTAAAAAGCTTGTACATAACCAAAATATATTCTTTGGCTCTTCTTCTTATAAACGGAAACAAAAAAAACAAAATGTAATACTACCACGAACCGTATTAATCCTCCATAAAAACCGAACCGCGATCGGTTAATATCACCATGAACAAGAGTACTATACCGACTGGTTCAGGTCATCAAGCACCAGGTGCCGCATCTTTAGCTCTGCCGTGGAAATATCCACCGTACTCTCTAGCGTAATCTTTGACGTGAGAGGCCGTGTCATAGATCCGACTACGTGCATAATCCATTTGATCCGATCCAACCGGGTGCATTCCACGGAAATAACGGTACGTCCACAACACAACGGCCACCGTTCCGACAAGAAAACCGGTGACGGTTAAGAAACCGACAACGATGACAAAAATGGGAATCCAGATCGGACTCGAGACGATGATCACCGGAAGAAACACAATGAAGGCTATTGTGGTGGCCGTCGCGGTTACACCAAGGAGGAAGAGGAGGATTCCGGTGGATATGAAGAGAGCAAGGAAACCAAAGAGCTGTGAGGAGGTTGGTGAATGAGATCGGAGAAGGCGGAGAAGGGAAGCATAGGAACTGTTGTTGCTGCCGGTGGTGTTGCTACCGTATATGGGCCAATATTGGGCCTCGCCGCTAGAGAACGTTTCCGCCATTGTAGAGACTGATTGTTTGCTTTTGTGTGGGTGATTGAGAGAACAGAAAGAGGAAAGGGTGAAACAAACAAATGGAGGATATATTCAGCTTCGAGGTGGCATTCATGCAAGGTTTCCAAACACGTGTAGATAGGTCTCTGTTTCATTGTCTTTAATCGAGATTTTGGTTTAGACTCGGTTTAATTAAAAATTTTGGTTTAGACTCGGTTTAACTAAAAATGCATTGATCAAGTTACAAGAAGAGACAACAAAAGCGAAAAAGATACAATACCGAATTGTGTCTCGTAATGACAATTTATATGCTAAAAATCAGTAGTAGCCAACGCCTCTAAGCTCAGAAGAACTTGGCTGCTGCATATCACCAGCTTTACCTAAAAACACAACTCGGCCTGGAGGAAGAAAACACAGAGATCAACATCTGATTTGTTTTTTTTTTTTTTTTTGCAGTTAAATATGAACAATGCTAAATCTGAGTGAACAAAATCGATTTCTTTGGAGTTGAGCCATTTATACCGTTTCTACGAATTGCGACTTCTCTTATACGTCGAACCAAACCAGTGACTGGATCAGTGAAAATCTTCGTCTCCAGATTACCCTCCAAGTAAACAATTGTGCTGTTGCATAGAACACGGATATGTTTATTCACTGGCACAAGCATGGAAAAAGAAAGCAGCCATTTTGATTCTAGCAACTAAGAAACCACCTAAAGCTTCTTCCTTTTTTATTCACCGACATGAATCTTAGAGAAATCAAAATACCCATCACATAATAAGAGAACTAACCCGGGTTCAACGTTCTTCAAGACAAGATCTGCCAAGCGTTCAGGGTAAACAGAGACACGGTGCCACTGCACTGCAGAACGGTTCGCATATTCTCTAGGGTCTTCGTTAATCATCGGTCTCCGGTTATTCCTGATCCCACCGGTTCCTACAGAGAAGAGAGTCACTGTTCTTCCACTCTTCAGCTTCTTCTGCAGTGGCAGCTGTCCCACTTGCCCCACCAAAATTGCCTGAAAATTAGCACAATTCACTAATAAGCAAACCAAAGGAGACCTAAGATATTCAGAAACTGACTAACACTGATCATACTCGAGAATTAAACAAGCTAAATTGCAATGATCTCCATGGATGGTTCGAGAAAATAAAATAACAAAACGGATACAATTTCCGATGGAAATGGCTATAAGAAATCAACTGGAACTAGAACCGATTTCGAGGGGAGGAAATTTGGTACCTTGTAAATGCCAGCATCGAGGCCATTTTCGAGGGGATGCTCTTCCATCACGCGTTCTTCTCCGGACACTCGAGACATTGGATCCGAATACTTCGATTCAAGGGGCGATTCAGTGTCCGAGTTAGCCGATAACTCGTCCAAGTCGGATGAGATGCTGTTGGAGCAGAAGGACATGGAAGATTGAGAGAATCGAGGGTTCGAGAGAAGGGATCGATAGAGTCTTCTCGAAAGCGTGGCCATTGAATTCGCCATTTTTAGCTCTTTCACTGAGTTTTCGAATCGAAACGACGAAATGTAGGATTCTGGGTTTAAACGTCTTAAACCCTAAAGTGCTCGAAGCTGAGAAAGTCATTGGAACATTTTGGGACAATGAGCCTGAATTATTCCAAATCTAAGAATATTTACCAAAACTTTATTAAATAACAATTTCAACCCATAAATGAAAATCCGTATAAGCAATAGCATAACTGGTCACACGCCGTATGTCCGTATCCTTAGGTGTAGTTTTGATTTTAGATGTTAAAATATGTGCGTAAGTGATACACATTTTCACCAAAACTATCTTTAAAAGAATTCTTTAGAAAAAGACATCGTCCACATAATTTCAAATTTGTAACTCAGAATAAGAAGCACGTATCCCATAAAATCTGATATTACTCAACAACTTCGAGTCATGTTGTTTTCACAAGTTATCTTTCTGATTCAAAAAATGTAAAATACCAAGTCAAAGATATATCCAATAATTATCCCTCAAGATGTGGTCAAGACTAACAGACCTCGAAATCTCACTCTTTTTAAACTCAAGACCTCGAGTGTTCACAAGCCATAAAGAGCAGAGAGAAGAAAAAAAAAATAGTCCTCGTTACTTAGATTTCTGCCAAGAACAAATCCCCTTTTTTTTTTGTTAGAGCTCCCTAGATATCATTCCAAAAACAACAAATGGGTTCAATGAAGATGATCACTCTCGTTACGCTCCTTGTATCATTCTTTATGTTTTCATGTGTTTCAAGCACTGAATTTGAAGTTGGAGGAGAAGATGGTTGGATCGTGCCAAAATCTACGGCTCATGGAGACATGTTTAACCAGTGGGCTTCAGACAACCGGTTTAAAGTTGGCGACACTATCCGTAAGTACTTTTTTTTTTTAGTTCTTTCCTTCTTTTTCTTTTTTGTATGCAACTTTCATCTTAAAAATATGTAATTTCTTGTGGGGATTTTGGTTTATTTTGGCGAAGGTTTCAAGTACAAGAAAGACTCGGTGTTAATGGTATCAAAAGAAGAGTACAAGAAATGCAAGGCGACTAAACCGCAACTCTATTCGAACAACGAAGACACGGTTTTCAAACTAGACCGTCCCGGTTTGTTTTACTTCATTAGCGGTGTATCAGGCCACTGCGAGAAGGGTCAGAAGATGATCATAAAAGTCATGGAGACGGAGGAGTCTTCGCCAGAGTCTCCTCCTCCTTCCTCGTCTTCGTCTTCTTCATCTTCATCTTCTTCTTCACCATCTCTACCGGCGTCAACTCACAAGAAGAGCAGTGCCTTGAAAAACGCAGTCCAGTTCAGTAGTTCCGGTTTTGTTGTCTTTGCGATTATGGCTGTTTCGGTTTTTGGTTTGGTTTAGTTACAGCAAACTTTAGACCGGTTTAGCATTTTGTTCTCTTTAGGTTTTCAACTATTTTCGTTCTTAGGCAGTGAGTATTCCGAATAACAATGACCGGTCTAGGTTTCAATCTTCACATGTTCTCCCTTTTATTGTAATCTCATTATTTCTCAACTATGTTCTTTACGATTTCCTATATTTCAACGTCTTAGCGTTTGACACTTTTTGTTCTAAGAAAACAATCTCTGGCCCCTAAAGAAAGCTGTCATAAAATTAATAAAACAATTCTTATAACAACTCAAAGATCTGAAGTAATACAAGAAACATTTCATCTATAATTAAAAAGCAGAGTACTGTTACTCTTCAGACAAAACTCGGTGGTAATTAATAAAACAAAAAAGGTTTCCCAAAAATGAGGAGCAGAACACTAATATTTAAAGGCTGGTTGAGAAACTTCATGCCTCTTTAGGATTGGACTTGCCTTTGCCATAGGGACTTTTAGAAGAGAAGCCATTGCGACTTTGCTGATTCCTCGCCTTCCTCACTTTCCCAGCTCCGCTTTCTATGTTCAGATTCACTTTTGGAGGCGAAGAGAAGCAGAACGATGCAGCAACCGCCTGTGACAATCCAATGACAGAGATATGAAAAAACCTGCTATCTTCTAACCCCTCAAGCACAATTAACAAATAGTCTATTTGTGTGTTTTTATACCTGGAGATCGAGTCGGTGAACATTGAAGATATCTTTCAGAGAATGTGAATTGTATGCTGATATATAAGCTCGGTACGCGTCCTTCGCTAACCTGTTCAGATTATACTCGTTGGCAACATACTTCTCCTGCGGAACAAGTGCAAGAAACGATGTTATTATCACAACGAATCCCAATTACAAACGGAAAGTTATTCACACACAGCAAATAGACTGAATCAGAACTATTACCAGCGCAGATCGAACATTCAAAAGCTTCTTCTCATTGAACTCAAGCTCTTTCACAGGTACTTTTGCAGCCTGCAGGTTAAAGTACAAATCAGTAAAACAAGTGGGTTTACCCTAAAAAAAAAGATTCTAAATACCATTCATACCTTAAGGTATCGAACAAACTGAAGCTCTTCAGGGATCAAGACAAGCAAAGCCTTTCCCTTTGCTCCTTCTCCACGAGCTGTTCGACCAACTCTATGGATATATTCCTGTAAACAAACAGCACCCAAGAACAATCTAAGATACACAAACAGACAGAAGGTATATAATTAAGACCAGAGCGAAGTATTTCTCTTACCGTTGGCTTGTCTGGAGGATCATACTGTATAATCCAGTCCTACAGATAATAATATTCAACACAATGTTATTTCAATATTGGGTATAATTAAAGCGTTAGTTATCAATGCAAAGAACATAGTGTGGATACGTACCACGGAAGGAATGTCGAGACCGCGAGCAGCAACATCAGTACATAACAAGATACCTTTTTCTGCTTTCATAAAGTCGAAAAAGGTTTTCGTTCTTCGGTTCTGATCTAGTCCGCCATGGATATCACAGCTATCCACCTTTATTAGTTTCATGATTTCAGCATGGAACTGTACCGACTTACACGTCGAGAAGAACACCATTATCTTTTTATTTAGGTTCTTTTTCAAAAAAGAAATTAGAAGCAGAAGTCTTTTTTCGCTCGGAACAACACAATAGCCTTGCTCCAATCCTTCATTTGTCACCTAACAGTTTTGGAAACTTAGTTAAGTAAAATCTCAATGGCATGCTCCTTAAATTTTCATTACCAGAGTGTTTCTTTTGATCCATACCTTGCGTCTACCATCGTCGACATCAACATGAACAGGAGACGTCAATGACACCCGAGCAAGATCTTGAACCTGTTACGATTCACCAAGACATAGCATAATTAAGAAACAGAAAATACTAATAATGACAGTACCGCAGCTAATAGAAAAATACCTTAGAGGTCTGGGTGGCAGAGAATAGTGCGGTTTGCCTAGTCTGCAGAAACATGGTAAGAACTTTAATCAGAACAAAATCCAAGCCATAGTATTGCCAAAAACTTTGGCACATGATTCGTGTAGACATTTGAACATACGGAATCCAACAAAACTATTTCGCTAGTAGGTTTTGGCTGAAGAGACTAACAATACCATGGCTTGTTGCTATGAAGGAAAAATTTACTAAACAAAAAGAAAAGAAAAGGAACTTATGATGCTTAAAGTTAATATTCATCTAGTTTTCTCATCTCTTCTTTGAATACACTTAAGACCCAAAGAGATGATTTACCTTTGGTAAAATCTTTAGAATCTTATTCATGTCTTCCTCAAAATTTTCTTCCAATATCCTGTCAGCTTCATCGATCACAAGGCACTGCAATTTATAGGAGCATATGCAAAGATAAATCCCAGTGGAGTCATCGACAGCATAAAACAGAGTATTCACTACAGCCCATGCTAGAAATATAATTATTAGCCAAATATTTTGTAGTTTTCCCTCTAATTCTAATACAGGTGCGGCGGAAATGAATACCATATAATAAGCTGTCTACAATTCATCTATGGCTCTTTTACTAGTATTGTTTGTCTGTAAGAAATGATGTCTATTGGCTCAACAGTAACAGTTTTAACATCTACCCCACAAAATGAAGAGAAGTACACGCGCCAAAAGAAACTATGAAAAAGGACAGTACCTTCAGGTGCTTAAAAATGAAACCTTTTGTATGTTGAAGATGGTCAAGAAGACGCCCAGGAGTTGCTATCAACAAATTTGAACCATTCGCAATACGTTGGGCTTCCGACCTTCTGTTGTTGCCACCAATGACCATGCTGACCGTCTGTGAATGATGCTTGAGTAGCTCCTCCGCAACGTTTTTAGTCTGAGATAACGTACAACAATATTTATACTTTAAAAATCGAACACAATTGCAATGAATCATGTACATGAGAGATAAATTTCTACCTATCCCACTGCAAGAATTACAGGACTCATGTACTCACAGTTACAGTATGGTTGATGCTAAGTTAAAATGCCATAGGTTAGATGAACAGGGCATTTACCTGAATAGCAAGCTCCCTTGTGGGGCAAATAACGATCACACCAGTCCCATTGCGAGGAGAGAAACGCTCTTTAAACAGCAACTCTACAGCCGGTATGAGAAAAGCAAGGGTTTTACCAGAACCCGTCCTGGCAGCACCAAGAACATCTTTTCCCTCCAAAAGGGGAGGAATTGATCCGGCTTGAATCTATAGCAGAAGATTAAGAGACTTAGAAACATACTCTGCTAAAAAGACCCTGTTTTGCAAATCCAGTTAAAAACATCGAAAAAATGGTATCAGATCTACTTACTTGCGTCATGTGCTGAAAGCCCATCTCCTTGATAGCTTCAAAAGTCTGCTCAGATAAGTCCAGGGATTCAAAAGTTTCATTAGTCATGATCCCTTTACTGACAACCACGATCTTCTTCTCTTCTTCTTCTTCTTCTTCGTCTGCTGTTTCTTCCTTTGCTTCCACCTCTTCATCTTCCTCTTCTTCGATTTTGCCTTTCCCTTGCAACTTCACTTTCTTAACCTTCTTTTCCCTCTTCTTCTGGACTTCATCTGTGTTTTCCTCTACGTTGTGGGTTTCTTCTTCCGTCCTTTGCTGGTCGTTCTTCTTACCACGGTTTCGCTTTCTTATCCTCTTCTTGATCTCTTCACTGGAATTCTTCTCCAGTTCAACCATGTCTACGCTCTTTCAATCAATCAACTCTCTGCAGAAAAAATTACAGACTTGTGTAAATGGAGGAAAACCAACATATTTTGAGAATGTTTTTAATCTATGAAAGAAGGCAAGTTCTAAGACTGACAAAGCAAACTCTCTCCCACTAAAATTAAGGTTTGTATCCTAATCATCGGTCTCTAAAACCGTGAATTTCAATTCTTAATCCAAAAGAATGTGGGTAGAGATTGTAAGAGCCCGTGTATTACAATAGAACATGAAAAATTTAGGTTTTTCTCAATCCCAGTAATGGATTTATTATCGATACAGAGCTTGGAAAAGGAATTACTACTGCAAAAGAGAAACAGAAAAGAGACTTACCCACTTGAAGGATGCGATAGCGAGCAGAATTGGATAATTTAGCTTGGGAGAAACTTTGAGAGATGGAGAAGGAGAGAGAGATGAGAGGGAAGAACGCGGCGTACAGAAATAAAGGTTTAGGGTTTAACGAGTGTTGTGCAACTCGTAAACCTTCGAGTTGTTTTTTTATTTATTAATAAAACTTGTTTTTTATTATAAAATATTTAAAATATTAAATTGTAAGGAAAAACCTTATAAATATTAATGTTTTTTTTTTTTTAAAAGGTTTCAACCGTCGTTAGAAAAAAAATTGTTTCGAACAAACACAACACATGCGCCAAATTTGGATTCATTTTTTTGTTTTAATGTTTTTATCATTTTTGTTAATGTATTTAAGTAATTTGATCCCTCAAGAACTAGACAAAATTAAAATAGTTAACGAAAAAGTTACACTGTGAAGCCTTTGGTCAAAAAAAAAAAAAAGTTACACTGTGTCTTGCAATCTGTCGAGCCAAAAGCATAACATTAATTTTATCAAATACCATCTATGTTTCGAAAAGTATGGCTTGAGCAATGGAATACACAGAGAAGATAAGGCAGTAACTTCACATTGTCTGAGCTCTTTCACTAAAATAAAAATTGAGCACGAAATGGTGTAATCTATATAAAACTGATGTAATCACTCTCAGTATTTGTATGTTGTTTTTTTTTAATATATATTGTTCCTTCACATTATAATGTTTTTGACCACCTTGGTTTGGACTTTCAGTCTCTTTAGTTTTTAGTTGAGAATCTGTCAATAAGATAGTTAACATAAAAAATCTATCAACTAGAATGAAAAAAACTTCAAATTGTAAATTAGACCGGTTGTAAATTGTAAGGAACCATTACTGAAGCAAGAGTTAAGGGATTCATTCAACACCCACAAGGCGTTATTAGTTCACAGAAAGAAACCAAACTCTCAACCTTAACATAAAGGGTAAACTCATCATAAGCTTAATGTTTTTCTCAAATTCCAAAAAAAAAAAAAAAAGAAACTAGGCCGAAAAAGAACTAAATCAATAGAAGAAAAAGAAGAGCCAAGCTTTTTCACTCATTATCACCAAAAACGGTCTTCTTCCCTGCAAGACAATACAAAAGCAAAGGTTATGAGAAAAAGATTCAATACAAGGCAACAAAAGAAGCTCAAGGGAGAGATGAGGAAGAAAGAAACAAAACCTTGGGCTGAGGCAAGTAAACTTGGTTTGCTGGGTGTTCTTCCACGTCCTCTTTTAAAAGGGACACTGTCGTTGCCCCTTGGCCCCCTTCCACGTTTGTTATTAAAACGGCCACCATTGTTGTTGTCCCTTGCACGTCCTCCACTACGATCAGCACTCTCTCCTCTTGGTAGAGCCTTGCTCACCATTATGTTCCGTCCTCCAACTTCACTTCCGTTTAGCTCCAATGCCTTGTTTAAACCATCCTTCAAATCTATGAAAGCGTTCCTGAAAGACAACATACGTTCCATGAGTAACAACATCATCATCATTCATCATTCATCATTCATTAGCGCGGGAAAACAAGAGTTACAAACCCCCTGATAGCACCAGTCTCAGGATCTGTTGGAATAGCAATCCTTGTGATTTCTCCACAAGCACTAAAATGATCTCTCAAGGCACTCTTGATCTGAAGATGTTCAGAACAGAGTTTTTTTTTTTAGTGTTTGCTTCAGAGATTTTTTAATATAAATACCTTTTATCACATGTCGAGTTGGTTTTAAAACAAAGTTGAAGATGAGGATTTTTACTTCATGTTCACCGAGAGAAGAGTCGAATCCTCTAACAAAAATCGTTTTACTTTGGCTTCCTTGTCCTTTGTCACTGCTCTGGTAGTTGCGAGCAGCATTGCTGAAAACATTCCAGCATTTTTAGTGTTTGCATCATACACAATCAACATTCACAACAAGCTCATATGGGAGGTAAGAAAAGTACCTGCTTCGTGGAGTAGTGTTGGAAGCACGCTTTTCGTTAGCAGTATCAAGCCGAACATCGCGGCCTAGCAATGGTTTACCGTTCAGCTCCAATGCCTACATCCAACAAAAGATCCAGTCATAATTGTAATTCTCCACTTACCACTTAATGATTCCAAAATAGCCTGTAACAACTTACCTTCTGAGCTGCTTCTGCAGTAGCAAATTCAATATGCCCAAATCCTTTAGAACTGCCATCTTCATGCAAAGCAAATCTAACATCGACGATTTCACCAGCTTCTTGGAAGAATTCCTCACTGGATATGAGTTATATGTATCAGGCAACCAACATTTTATCGGAATATCCAGAAGAAAAAAATACATTTTGTACATACTTACATGTCAGATCTCTTGATATGATAGGAAAGATTTCCAGCAAATAGTGTCCTTGATCCTCCTTGAGTCCGAGTGGTTGGTGTCTGAGCAGTTGGGGTCTGAGTGGTTGGTGTCTTCAATTGTTTTGCATTTGATTTAGGCTCTGCCTCCACCATTTCAGTATCAGAATCCTGGTTTTGATGAAAAGATGATTAGTGTTGGAATAAATAAATTTTATCATAGATTCTATATAGAGCTGTTCTTCATACGAAATACATAAAAGATGTAACATCATTATTGGTAGCTACCTTTTTCTTTGGAGTTACTTTCTCATCTTCACTCTCTTCCTCACTAGATTCATCACTACTGCTTTCTTGTTTAGAAGCATTATTGGTAGCTACCTTTTTCTTTGGAGTTACTTTCTCATCTTCACTCTCTTCCTCACTAGATTCATCACTGCTGCTTTCTTGTTTAGAAGATTTTGTTGATGAAACTTTAGCCTGTATAACAAGGCAAAACATTTTACTTCTATCGACGTACACTTATGCTACAAAAAAATAATAAAAGATAACTTGGCGGAAGAACATACCTTCTTCTGAGGAGGTTTTTCATCATCACTTTCCTGCAAGTAACGCAATAATATGGACTAGGTAAGTGTATAGAATAAAAGACATCACAAAACCTTTTAAAGAGCCAAATCTTCAGAAATAACAAATAACAAATACTCATATATTATCATGTTTTATTAGTATACAAAGAACTAGAAACTGCGTCAAAACAAACCTCATCATCAGAATCCTCCTCTGATGAATCTGAATCTGACATGCTTTTAACAGAAGCTGGAATCTTTTTTGTAGCAGGTTCCTTTTTATATACAAAAAAATAGTAAACAAACAATTACTTTTTTTCCGCTGATGGTTACTGAATCTGAAGTAACAAATAACTTGGAAATATTTCCAAACCTTTTCATCTTCTGATTCATCCTCTGAGGATGATGAATCTTTTGCAGCTGGCTTGGCATTCTTAACTACTGTTGGTTGCTTCTTTGGAGAGGCAGGTTCCTAATTATGTTTTTATCAACAAACAAAACTGTAACGTAAGCATACTGTATCCCTGTAACATTAAGCTAGCAATATGTAATGCAATTTTTACCTCGTCCGAGGAAGATTCATCCTCTGATGAACTGCTCTCGGCCTTGGCTTTGGCTTCCTTAACAGTTGTTGGTTGCTTCTTCGCAGGGGCGGATTCCTTATTGTTTTTTAAACGAAATTGCAATTAAGACGATGTTCTAAGCATAAGCATATGTCATGAAATTTCTTTTAACTAGCAATGAGTCAATTCATACCTCGTCGGAAGAAGATTCTTCCTCTGATGAGCTGCTCTCTACCTTGTCTGCTTTCTTAACAACGGCTTGTTGCTTTGGAGGGGCTGATTCCTAATTATAGTTTATCAAGAAAGTGTAGATCAATATGAAATTCCTCTAACAAAACATTGGTTTAATGCGTAATAATTCCTCTACCTCGTCGGAAGAAGATTCTTCCTCTGATGAGCTGCTCTCTGCCTTGGCTGCTTTCTTAACAACTGCTGGTTGCTTTGGAGGGGCTGATTCCTAAGTTAATTAAATTAAAAAAAAGGCAGTTGTAGATTAATATGAAATTCCTCTAACATTAACATTGAGCTAATGTGTAATGATTCCTCTACCTCGTCTGAAGAAGATTCATCAGATGAGCTGCTCTCTTCTTTGGCTTTCTTAACTACCTCTGGCTGTGCAGATTCCTAATTATAATTGATCATAAAACAATTTGTAGATTAAGCATATGACGTGACACATCTCTAACAGTGATAGAAGTGTGATTATGCAGTTTATACCTCGTCTGAAGAAGAAGAGTCCTCATCAGATGAGCTACTCTCTGCCTTGGCTTTCTTAACGCTTGCAGCTAGTTGCTTCTTCGGGGAAGGCTCCTAATTATGGGAAAATAAATTGAAAGTAAGCACAAGATACCTTTTAACATAAAGAGAATGTTGTCTATGATGCAATTCATACCTCATCCGAGGAGGAATCGGAATCTTCAGAAGACGAGTCATCTTTCGTCTTAGACAGAGGCTTCTTGGCAAGGTCTTTCTTAGTCTGAATGTTCACAAAAGCAAATAAATTCAGCTTGAATATAGACAGAACATTCTCCATGAATTCAACTCAGCTTAACTAAGGTCTAAACATACTTTCTGTTCTTCCTCGGAATCAGAAGAATCTGATGAGTCGGAGCTGCTGGTCTCCACCTTCTTCTTCTTTGGAGGTGCCTTCTTCTCAGCTTGAAACTCTTTCTTCTGCTTCTTCGGATTCACTTTGGTGTCCAGATCAACTTCCGCATCTCTCTTACCTAAAAGTGAAGAGACAGAACAAAGTCAAAATCCCAAAAACAAAAGTGCTGACATAGTCATCAACAGACAAAAGTAGTCAAATTTCATGGAACCCTCTTTGTACACAACACAAAGATACACTTTTTTTCAATTATTATTGAAATCGGATGCTCTAGTGTTCGTGTAAGAAACTAGAAAAGAACCAAGATTCAATAGAATGCACAATTAACAACAAGTTCAGCATCAATAACATTAATTCTTCTCATCGTTCAACAAAATTACAATTCGAGAACGAACACATCGAAGAAAAAAAACAATTTTTTACCTTTCTTCAATAGTTTCGTTGTAGCTTCGACCTGGAAACAGAGTTTCGATTAGCTTCGGAGAAGGTAAAAAAACGTACTACAAAACAGAGAGAAGAAAAAGTGAAGGAGAGAAAGATGAATACTACTGTGGCGGATTCTTTCTTAGACATGCCCATGACAACTGCTGGAGATTGACGATCGCTGCTGTTTAGGTTTTACGAGTGAATTTGCGACAGTGGATTCAAGATTTTTGGTGTTTAGGGCTTTATAGAAAGATTAGTATTTAAGCTCTCTCTCTCTAGTCCTGATTTTGGGCATAAAAGTCATTTAATTATTTATTTTTCCTTTTTCCCTTAGGCGGTGAAACTTGATCTGTACCGTCCACCTCATACGCGATTGATCTCTTACCATTTAAACGATCGATTTCTAGTCTTTAGACACTTGACTCGCAAGCTTTACAGATGCAACTTTGAAGATTAGATAATTTAACGTGATCCGCGAAAAAAAACAAATGTTAGACACTTGACTCGCAAGCTTTACAAATGAAACTTTAAAGATAAGATCATTTAAAGTGATCCGCGAAGAAAAAAAATGTTCTGTGATCAGGGCCATTAGGCCACCATTCGTAAACAATCAAGTCCTTCAAAGTGATCATTCGTAGACAAATTGGTCGTGACCAAAAAAAAACTATACACAAATTGGTGTTGGGATTTGACATTGACAGACACATTTTTTTAAAATCAAATTACTTGCCGAGGATTCTTTTTCGTATGACCTCGAATTAACAAAAAAAAAAAATCAAATTAATTTACAGGCGTTACAATAATAATTTTCTTAATGCATTATAATTTGGGTTATTACAAAAAAGCAAATATAATAGAAGGACCAAAAATTAGAATAAAAATATCGAGAGCGCCTACTATGCAAAGTAAATTCATTTTTCGTCGCTCTGTTCAAGATTTCTTCTCTTCTCCCTCACACTTCCGATCAAAAATTTCCCGGTGTCTATCGTCACCGTCGCCATCGGCGGATAGTTACCGGAAGAGGGCTCTGTAGAGTTAGAGAGAGAGAGAAGGAACTTGAGTCTCTCAATTCCCTGAGATGCGTATCTGTAAATATAAAGATGGTCAACCCTAAATACTTGTGAAGAATCGGATGCTTTGTGTCATGGTCAAGCAATCCCGGATTGAAAGATTGAGAAAATCGGACAACAATCTGATCAGATCTCTGTGGAAAGACCGTAGCTTCAAGGGAGCTGATACTTGTGTTTCTGCGAATCAACAACGTTGGACCCTTCACCCAAGATTAGAGATTTCGAATATTCTGACTGACAAATCAGCGGAAACGTGGCTGTTCTGTTTGCTTCATTGATTACCATTTGATTAGCAGATGATTGATGGGATTTTCTTCGGTTTAGTGTTTTTGATATACATAGAGAGAGGGATGAAGTCTTGATTGTGAAATTCGTCCAAAGTCTCGATTTTGGGTTTTGTTTGAATTTTGCGATTTCAATAGAGAATAGATTTTTGGATTTTTTTGTGTTCTTGGTTCTTAACTCTCATCAATCTTCTGCGATTTCTGAAGAAACCTTGTTTTTTGGTTTCGTATCCGATAAAGCTGAGATATGGAAGAGTCTTCCCAGGTTAGTGGATCCTTCTCTCTCTCTGACTATCTTCACTGAATTTTCTTGAAGTATTTCATCCTCTGATGCCTGAGTGTGTGTGAATAATAAAATCTTGGAAATTTTGGCTAGTTTCAAAAAACGTGTTTGCTTGTTTTACCGAATTAGGAATATAAACCTGCTTACAGTGTGGATTTTTTGAAAAACTTATGAATGTCTATAGGGTCTTGTAATTTAGTTGCAGATTATATGATTGGAAAAATGCACGAAGAACGCAAATTTTCACCAAATCACAATTCAGTTTTCATCAAAATAGAGGGACCCTTGCATAGTGGTACTGTTCTCTAAGATAGAACTTTTGCTTTTCATTTTTTTGTACTCTAGGGGAGTTTTGTGACAACCATAAATGAGGATTATGAAGCAATTTGCTGGGGCTGTGGACTAAACCTTGTTCTTCCATCATACGCACCTGTTTTCAAGTGTGGTTGGTGTGGTGCAATCACGAATCAGAATCCAGTCAGACTTGAAACCAAAAGATTTGGTTTGAGACGTTTCCGTGACCGGTGTTTTGTCGTTATCCTCGCTGTTTTCATGCTCTTTGTGATATGTAAGCACCTCTAAATTATCCAAGAATAACAAAAATTTAGAAATGATAATTGCCAATTTCCTGTTGAAATATACTCTTTTGGAAAATAAACTTGCAGGTGGTGGGATTTGGGCTGCGTATCCAGTCGTGTTTTCGATCAGCTTGGCTTGCGGGATTTTCCATTCTCTCACAACAGTGTCTCTGGCGATATCAACATTATCAACGTTCATACTTGTTGCTTTTAAATGCGCTGGGAAACCAACAGATATTCTTTATGGAACCCACCCTGGAGTAGGGAATGGTGCACTTAACAACTATACCTTTTGTCACTACTGCTCCAAACCAAAGTCACCTAGAACCCATCACTGTCGCACATGTGGCATGTGTGTCCTGGACATGGATCATCATTGTCCCTTTGTAAGTCTCATTGCCAATACCAACTTCACATATATTTCTTCGAAAGACTTCAATATAGAATGGGTTTCGAGTTTGGCATTTTAGAGAAGTTACAGACTTGTACCAGGTTTATCATTGCAAACTATTTCATACTTCCTTTGGTATTCCTCAATCATAGAGTACCTGGTTACGATACTTGGTTATCAATACCTTAACTTGTGTCCTTACGTACTGTTTATGAGCTTAAGGTTAATGACTCTTCTTGTGTTGTATTTGCAGATTGGGAACTGTGTTGGTGCGGGTAATCACAAAAACTTCATTGCCTTCCTTATCTCGGCCGTCATAAGCACAATCTACGCTTCTGCTATGTGTGTGTATACCTTGATTCATATTTTGCCACCTCTGGAAAATGGAGCAGCGTATGCATCCGATGTGGCACATGCTAATAGTTTATCAGTTATGAGAGTTGTGAAGAATATCGTGCTTGCTTACATAGCCAACGCTATCTTCATATCTGTTCGAGGCCTTGTTCTAGTCTACCTCTTTGTGGCGAGTGTTTCCGTGGCGATTGGGTTAAGTGTTTTGCTGTGGCAACAGCTTAGCTATATTTATGAAGGCAAGACTTACTTAAGCCATTTAAGATCTCAAGGAAGTGAGGAAGATGGTGAAAAGAGCTGCATGAATCTTTTGACGTTTTTTGGGTGTCCATATTCAATTGAAAGGCACTTGCCAACTATAAGGAACTTGAGGAAAAAACATAAGACATGAGAAGAAGAAGAGAATGGTAAAGTCAATACGTTCGTTCTATTTCCTCCTGCAACATTAGGAGCTTGTTTTGGTTATTCAGAAACATTAATCATACTTGGAGCTTACAGGTAATGGAGATTAGCAAAGTTTGTATCTCGTTTGTGAAAATTTATGATCATAGAATATAGTAAATTTTGTTTCAAGATTGTAAATTTCTTTCCCCGAAATGCCTTGAACTCGAGAATAACAGTATATGGGGTTGCACAAATATCTTTCATGCATTTCTCCATACTTTTAACATATTCAACCATCCATACTTTTAACTTCTTCATACTTTGTTGCAACATGGAAGTTCTATAACTAAGCAGCACTAATATATAATACACAACATTCTTCAAAGACTACAAAATGAAGACACAACCTATGCTAGTCGTCTAACATTTTGTGATAACATAGTAATTCACAAAAGAGGAGCATTATATAACTGTTAAATCTTCAAGCTCTGTTCACCAAAAGGGATTGATGGAAAATGGTAGGCTTCCCAAGAGCACTCATAGTTCGTCTTGGCTTTAACATTACGGTTAAGAGGTTAAAGTTGCCAGTCTATGGGTGGAATCCCCATTTGCCCGAGTAGCTGGTTTACTCGAGAGAAATGCCTGTTCAAAGGTGGAACACTCATGGTTAAATTATGAATTGGGACAACATAAGCACAATGCGCAGATTATGGCAGTGGACTAGACCTAACCTGCAGTTAAAGAAGCCTCTGTGCGCCGATAAACCAGATGGATGAGCTGCTGTGAGTATATGATGTTTATTCCCATCGATCAACCTGCAATAATCATAGAAAAGCTTATACCCTCATACAAGATAAACAATGAAAATAATACATAAGCGTAATAAATTTACAAGTTTAACTGGTACTGATGTTTTGGAGGTCGAAAATGGAATTCTAGTCGTAAAACCAAAAACCTACTTGGATTTCTCTTGAGCGTATCTTCCCCAGAGGAGAAAGACCACACCTTCCTTCTGCTGTGAGATACTTTGAATAACAGCATCAGTGAATTGTTCCCACCCTTTCTTTGCATGTGAATTCGGCTGTTTGCTCCTTACTGGATTTCAAGGCAAGATAACCGACATGTGTGTGAGAAGAAATTCCAGAATTTTTAAAAGTTTTTATACTTACAAGGCCATGATGCGATAACAAACTTTACCTGTAAGAACAGCATTTAGCAGCAAAACACCCTAAAAAGAAAACTCAAAAGTTAAAATCTCTCCAAGTTAACTAACTGACAATTGATGGAACAAACAAGTGGAGAGAGCACAAAGAAACTCCAGTTACCTGCACAGCCCATTTCTGTAGATTACCATGACGTGGGATTGAACAGCCAACATCTTTCTGAAGCTCCTTAAATATGTTCAAAAGGCTAGAAGGAAGCTTCTCTCCTTCAGGCACAGAGAAGGACAAACCCATAGCTTGACCGGGTCCATGGTAAGGATCCTACTCAAAACAGAGGAAAACTCGTTAAAGCACAAAATGAATCTCATCGAGGAATACAGAAGTACATTCCAAATGATGTACCTGTCCGATAATGACAGCCTTGACACGATCAAAAGGAGTTGTGTTGAGGGCATTGAAAACCAAGTGCTGAGGCGGATAAATGGGAGGGCCTTTACAGTCAGCGATGATCTCACGTTCAAGGAAATCAGAAAGGTTTTGAGCGTAGGGTTTATGCAATTCTCCAGGAATAGCCTTAACCCATGATTCTTCCACTAAGAGCTCACTCAACGGCACGTAGCAGCTTCCTTTAGCTGCAATTTCCATCCCAAAATCAATCAGATTCGCTAAACCCTAGAAAAGGTCTCTCATTTCCCAGTTCACGGATACTCAAGGGGACAGTAAATCAGCAAAAGAAAAAAAAAATCAAACCTTTCGCTTTTGTGACCTTCTCGGTGCAGACGGCGAGGTTGCGCTTGGATTTGGCAACGAATTTATTGAACTCGGAGCGAGAGATTTGTTCGGGTGTGAGGCCAGACGAATCGTCGGCGACGGAATTGTTAACTGTAATGCGAGGCGGCGATTTAGCTGCCGAACCCAGATCGCGTGACCCACCGGCGGCGGAAACGGCGGGAAAAGAGGAAGAAGACGAGGAAGCTTTGAGGCGTTTGGCGGGTTGAAAAAAATCCATTAGGGTTTTGGATGTTGACGAAGCCATTTCCGTCTCAGAAATCAATTCACTGCGAAGAAGAGATTCCGAGCTTTTTTTAATTCTCACCAAATTCCCAATTTTTAGTTATTCCCTGAAAAAAAATTCAGAGAAGAGTTAAAATGGCGGGAGCGACGGTACAGGTCGGTTTAAACCGGTTAAGAGACCAATCAATTTGCTGCTGCATCTATTTAAGAACAATCTGCTAAATTATGCTAAAAACAAGTTTCCCCTAAAAATTCTTTAAAATTATACATTAAAAAATTTTATCTAACAATCCCTTCTGTATAATAAAATAAAGATGTAGATGAGCAATTTTTCCCTAAATCATTTTTCTTTGTATAATAGGATAGATGAGCAATTTTTTTTCCTCTCATAAAATATATTAACACTCACACTTACATATTCCATTTAATAATTTTTTATTTATTGCTCAATGCACTGAGAATTATTAAAACTTAATTATCAAGTTTGTATAAAATAAGTTATGTCAAAGTAGATGATTGCAAAAGTATACAATTTATTAATAATTTTTATTATATTAGGATATATAATCAAATAAGTTAAAAAACTCTCCAAACTGAAACACTCAATTCTCAAAGCTTCAAGCCAAAAATTATGCTAAAAACAAGTTTTCTCTAAAAAATCTTTAAAATTATACATTTATAAAATTTAATCTAACAATCCGCGCATAGCGTGGATAAACATATTACAAAAACATCAATCCGCCTTCTTGAATTTGCTGATATATGCCTGGAATAGATGACACAAACAAAACAAGGGTTAGAAACATGGTTGATTTATAGTTTTGGAAAGTAGAAGATAAAGGTTTATCTATAAAGGCACCTGCACAAGCTTGGTAAGCTTTGGTTTTGAAGCAGATAGATAATGGTCAATCTTCTCCTGAGTTTGAGGGACGTTTCCACTTTGCATGGTACCAGTCACTTTCTCAACTACTTTCTTCACAATGTTCTTGTAACCATCTTTGTTCATTTTACCTTCTTTCCAAGCTGGTTTCAATAGCTCCTTAACAATCTCAACAAGCGCAAACTTAAACGCACGCATCCCTTTCGGGTCTTTCCCTTTCTTGTCCTCTTCGTCGCTCCCATCACCGTCATCTTCGTCTTCATCTACCACGTTCTCAGCATCTTTGGTGTCTTCTCCAGTTTTCTTACCCTCTCCTTCTTTGCTAGCTTCATCAGTCTTTTTCTCTCCGTTTTCCTCAGAAGCCTTGGGATTTAGCGCTAGCTCCCGAGTCCCATCAACATCGTTTACCTGTGACGCAGCAACCGTTGAAACTCCTTGGGGGCCAGTGCTCATCCCAAGTCCCCATAGCAGATTGGGATTATTACTCACGGAGTTACTTTGCGTAGTAGTAGCCAGGTTTGGTTGAACAGCCATGGAAGATTCTGAGTGCAAGGGCATCTGCAAAACCTGTGTAAGCTGCTGTGGAATGGGCTGTCCATTAGCAAAAAACTGCGCTATAGATGCTGAGATGTTGCTAATCTTATCCATCTGTTCTCTCGTCACGTCATTTTGGACCGGAACAGGTTTCTCCACAGTTGAGTGATGATTATCTTCATAAACCATTCTACTCTCAGGGTTGCTCAAGTTCGAGCCTAGTGAGAAATCTGCAGCAGCAGCAGCTATCACTTGTTGACTTCCTCCAGCGGTTTGTGAGTTTTGGTAAGGCAACACATTATGATTCTGACTGAAAGCTTGAACGGGAGGAGCAGCCATGTTCACCGGTTTCTCAACCATGGGTTTGTCACCATATGAAAACACATCACTACTCCTCTGATCATCTTTGAGATCTCGAGATTGTGAACTCTGACCAATAATGCCAACACCAGACTCTTCCTTCTTCATGGGGTTTTTCACACCATAATTCCAATCTGGAGACATCTCCATACCATCAATCCAGCTACTACCGTTGCCTTTAGCTTCAGAGATTCCTTTACTGGCACGAGAAACTTCGATCCCACCGAGTTTCCCATTATTCAATCTCTCAACATCATTCCATCTACTATGATTTCTATTGTCCTCTCTATAAAAGTTGCTTTCTTGAGGCTGCTTTCTATCACCACCATGATGAGAGAACCTGCAATGCTTGCCATTACGACAGAACCCTGCAGCGAAAAACTTGCACGGAATATTCGAACTCCTGTGGAATACTCCCTCACCATCAACAACATCCCTTCTTTGCGTTTCTTTCTCTCCCGTTAACTCGCTTCTGTGCCTTCTCAATCTCGGATCTGAGACGCCATCATGTAAATGCTCCCTTCTTGAACTATCCTCTGGAAAATCAGTATCATAGCCAGACGACCTAGCACCTTTCATCATTGCATTTTCTCTGAAATCATCAGCCTGATATGTCATCCTGCTTTGACCACCGCCTCTCTTATTGAATTCCCTGCTTGACAGAGACGAGTCTCGTGTCCTGGACTTGTGTCTATCATAAGATCCTGCATCTCGCCTTGCTCTATAGACTGGGCTTCTGCTACGGCTTCTACTTCTGCTATAACTTCTACTACCACTCCTGGAAAAGAAAAAGGAAAGAGAAAGAGAGACTTAGAAGAAAAGAGCAGTCTACTTTTTTTTTACTTACTGAAACAACTCTCAAACACTAACCTATTGAAAAACTGCTGCCTAGTTTCATCTTGTTCAGAATAATAGCTGTTATCGTTATTCTGCGCAGCTCTGCTTCTACTCCTAGCTTCGCTCGAGTGCTGATCGTCTGCAGCAGCAGACCTCCTACTACCGTTACTCTCTCCGTTGAACAGGACAGGCTCGGGCTCCTTGTCGCGGTAATAAGAACCTGAATTTGCATTCACGCTAGAATGATGATGATGATGATGATGATGTGTGTCTTCTTTAGAGTCCCATTTTGAAACATGTTTTCTTCCCGAGCCACTCATTTTTCACCCCTAAGGCTCACAAACTAATAGCACCAAGAATCAACAGGTAATCTGCAGATAACAAAAATGTTCATAAAGAGAGGAAAGTAAGTAATGAAGTAAAGGAATAGGTATGACTAAATTTAAAAAACCTCCTCTTAAGTGGAAATTTCTGGTGTTGTATTAAGCTGCTTAAAGCACCATTGACTTACTTTGTCATAGCCTCATAGTATAGATCTCTAATAATGAAACCATTCATTCACAGAAAAGAGAACCCACGAAATCTTCAACCTTTTAATGTTATGCGAGTCCGTTAAACTCAGAATCCTAGAGGAAAAATCTTGTCTTTCAATTGAAAAGATTGAATTCAACTACTAAGTAAGTGAAGAAGCACCAATCGTGGAAGTAGACGAATTGACCCGAATATGAAATTGGTACCAAATAGAACCTAAATTGAAAAGAAAGCTAATGCGAATGGAAAAACAAAAAACAAAAAAAAAACAGTCTAAATTGAACCTACTTGGAGGAGCGACAAATATCTCGAACATTAACTAACTAACTCACTTGAATTCGAATAGAGCTTGCCATCACCAACAGAGAGAGACAAACCTCTCTCATTGACAAGTCGCCGTACGCGAATCACGAGTGAAGCTTCTTTGTTTCTAGGGTTTCCAGACGAGTAAGAATCTGGTCGGATGTACGATAGAAGAAGACCGACAAAGAGTTTAACTCTGGTTCTTCTTCGACTTTCCAAGTTCTAGGTCTTTTGTTTTTTAGCCTCCGACGACAAATCTTACAATTTCTTCGCTGAGATTTGGCCTTGGCATATAAACCGAACCAGAGCAACCCGACCCGAAAAACCGGGTTCGGGTCAGATTCGGTTTAGCTGCAAAAACCGAACGATTTTTGTGTAAATCTAATTTGATTTTTGGGTTGATTCAGGTTTAACTCAAAACTCGATCACGTACCCGAAAAATTACAGATATATCATATTATATATATCACATATACATATATATACTTAGATAATTCGGATTTTATCGGGTAAATTGAGTTATTTGGATCCATTTTTATATAATCCGTATCAAATATCTTATTTCTTGAGTAATTCGGAAAATTCGAGATTAAAGCCGATCCGAATAGTATTTTTGGTTTCATTATGGTTTCAGTTAAAAATCATAAAACCGACTCAAATCTAAGAAGACTCGAACCGAATCAAATTTTTTTCGGGTCATATCCGGGTCCAATCTTCTCACTATTCGGATACCTGAGAACCGAATAACCGATCCGAACCCGAACCTTAGATCCAAATGCCTGGTTGGGATTTTGCTACTATGTGTGATTGTGGGTCCGGTCCCACTCTGAATGTAATATGCTCTTCGGTGAATCTAACCGTTGATTTAAATTCTATTAATCTCAGCCGTTGGATACTTCTAAAATAAGCCGAACAGCAACACTTTATTGCTAGCTAGCTCGGAAGTCGGAACCAGTTTGGATCTTTTGTTCTTTTTTTCCATTTTTCATTTGATTTTTTTTTCCCCCTTTTTCCCTTTTATATGCAAGTATGCAACCAATGATTAGAGAGAGATCACTGATTTTTTTTTGTATTTTTAACTTCAAAGTTTGCCATTAAAAACAAAAGCTTGCCATTAATAATAATCGAAATTCTCAGCATAGCAAAAGAGGAAAAGAGTCACTCATGGAGACATTTATTAATTCTTTATCAAAAACAAAAAATGGAGACAGTTATCAATAGACAAAAAAAAAACAAAATCACGTAATAGTCACAATGCATATAGCGAATAATCGGACATAACTGAAAAACACAGACATTGATCAAACTAATAAATGCATCAACCAAAATATATATATGAATATGTTTCTAAGTTATAAGAGACAATGTGATGAGAGATCAAATCTCATAGAGATCTAAAATTTTGGGTTGATCGATCCATATTGAAAAACGGGCTCGGCTCTTTGTGTCGGAAATTGAACAAGCTGATTGGAAAGACCATTGGTGTTAATGTTGCTGTTGTTGTAGCCGTACATGTCCATGTTCTGCAACCCGTTAATCCCAATTCCTTGCGCCCAGAGTAAACCGGGATAATCATTCATGTTGTTGATCCCAGTTTCTTGTAACCCAAGATAGCCAGAGTAATCTTCCACTTTGCCATTCTGATAAAACTGTTTTGGAAAACCATTAACACTGTTGTTGTTGTTGTTGTTGATGTTGTTGTAGGGTAACATGTTCTTGCTCGGAAACTCACTCATTCCAGTTCCTTGTAACCCACGTAAGTAACTTTCAACATTCAAATTCGGATACATCGTCAGTGGATTCTGGTATATCGTCAGTGAATTCGGAATCGGAGCCAGAGATTGCGCTTGGTTGAAAGATGATGCAGAGGGTGGGATTTGCGATGAAGCACCGTACATTGCTTGGTTAAACAGATCCATTGGAACCTGGTTTGAATGTTGGTGAAGATGATTCAGTGCAGCAGTAGTAGTAGTAATCATCTGTTCTTGATGAGCCATGTTCGTGTTGTGCATATTCTGCCTCTGTTTCTGAGACTCAGCAAGAGCTCGAAGCCTATGTTGCATTGTGGTTAGACTACGTTCCAAGGACTGAATCAGCAGCGTGAGTTGCTCTACAGAGTAATTATTAAACCTCGGATCCCAATCTGGATACTTGTCACTGGATCCAGACGCCACTTTCTTCTTCTTTTTCGTATTGGAATCACCCTTGTTGATCTTCTTGAGAAACTGGCGAAGATCAACTTGTCCTTTGAGTCGCTTCTTAATATCTAAAGATTTGTAACTTCGAGCCATGGCTTCGACCTTCTTTCTGTCTTCAGGCCATGTTTTAAGCTCTCCGTCTAATCCGTAACTGATGACGCAGACGTCGGTTCCACAGAGAGTTGAAAGCTCGTAAGCTTTCTTGAAGACAGTCTCTTGTCTTTTAGCTAAGCTCGTAGCTTTCGAAGAAGAAGGTTTCTGGAAGAGGGTTTGTTGAATTTTGGAGAATTTAGTTGTTTTCTTGTTCGTCGGTGACGAAGACGAATGAGAAAAAGAAGACGAAGAAGAAGAAGCCATCGTTATGTGTTTGTTTCTGTGATTATTGTGAATTGAATGAAGAGTTGTGTGCTCAATGTTTATTTATTTCCGAATATATAGAAAAGCTTGATTCGAGTATTTCTAATTTTGGTACCCTCACTTACTATCTCAGTCATTAATGCTCATCATAGCTGTAAGATTCGGTTTCCTTTTCTTTGTATGATTTACCATTTTTACTTAAATTTCGATGCTAAACGACGGTGTATCTGTTTTGGCTAAATAATAAGGAAATCTTTACACATAGTATGTATGCATATATACTTCAAAACTGCAGAATGTAATTTACATTTTTTTTTTTGGTGAATTGAATGTAATTTACATTGCTAACATTGTTAATATCTTTTTGCTTCGAATTTAAAATTAACTTTATAATTGATTTCTTTTTATATATATAAATAATCAAATAATAACATAGAAAGGTGTAAATACATGTACCTATCGTTTCCAAAAAAAAATAAAAAATACGACATGTACGTACGTTCATCATATTGTTAAACGGCAAAAAAAAAACATTTTATTCCAATTGAATAAAAAAAAGTATGGGAAAATTTTAGTTATACATCTGACATTTACCTAATATCGCAGAAAAAAAAAACTCAACAAATTTATTGATATGTATGTATATGTATGGCGTCACAAGTTATTGCCAGGAATCGAGGATCTCCGGACGGCGGTGATGGCCGGAGGGGTCGGTACAAAAGACTCGTAGTCGGTCCAATTTGATTCGCCCCAATGACGCAACATGCTTTTCCAATTACACAATTTATCGATGCAAATCTTGAGTCTCGGGTCCTTTACTCTTATCTTCCAGTGACCGTCCTCATAATTGGCCGCCTCGGCTTGCCGGCGATCATATTCAAGCTGTGCCTTTTGCTTTGATCGCAAGTAACAGAATTGATGAAGCTCCTGCAGAATTATCATCACACATCGAGTTTTCAATTTTTTTATTTGTTATGTCAAAAATGTAACAACTAAGATTAATAACAAAACAAAAAAAAGGGTCACTAATCTTACACGAGTTAGATTTTTTTAATTTTTGATTTTCAGCTGAGAATATTTCAGCTCAAATGTTTCTGTTGTTTTAATATTCCATCATCTACTACTCGTATATATGCATCATCATTAAAGTATGCAAAATGCCAAAATTCCGTGTATTATTGTTTTTTTTTTCTCTTAATTTTTTTGGGGAAATTTATCTATCTAAATGCTAAAGGTCGCTTAAAGTCTAGGAAAGTTGTATGTGTTTATGAGTGAAATTAGGGTTTAAGACAAAGATGTGGTCGTGTGATGTATCATATTACCTGTGGCATGGCGTCGTGAACCATCCACCATCGTCGGTGAGCAATATCTGTCGCAAACTCAACGAATATGTCGGAGTTGAAGTTACAGTCATAGTCACGGTAACATAGCCAAGGCTTCATCCCCAGGTAATGAAGAACATAAAGAATCGGAGGCTCTGCTCCAAACAGCTCTGTTTTCTTGCGTCTCACGTCATCTTCATCTCCAACCCAAAAATGCTTCAAGAAATTCATATGTTTCGGAATCCGATGCCACCATGTGAAGACCTCGTTTAAGTAACCTTGATCTCCACCGTTATACGACTCAATCTCGTTTATATGCTCCATGAGAAGCTGAAACGTGCAGTTGCAAGGCTCGATCACCATAACTCCTGAGTTAAACAGAGTTCCATTGTTCCCTGTCGCTGAGATCTCAGGCATTGAGAACAAGAAGTCGATGTTTCTTAAAATCAAGAGGTCTGCGTCGATGAATATTATTTTGTCGTAATCAGTGAGTTGCCATAGTCGGAATTTGCTGTAATTCCACTCGTTGTAAGCATCTTTCTCTGCTTTAGGGTTTCGTATCCTCTGTATCGTCCGGATTTGCCAACCCGCTGCTTCTAGTCCACTACGGTGATAACCGCTTATGTTGTCGTCTACGAGGATCACGAGGTCTCTCGTCGAACCGGACTGTCTTATGCTCTGAGCTGCCGCAATTGCTCCACAGACATAAACATGAGCGGAATGAAGAATTGTTGCGTAAGCTTCTCTTCTAGGGTTTCCTAAGCTTGGTCTCTCTATTAAATCCATGGAAGAAAACATAAACTTTTAAGAGAGAGCTCACAAGAACCTAAAGTAATTCCGGGTTTTTTTTTTCTTACCTTTGATGCCGAGAGGAAGAGAGAGCTCACAAGAACCTAAAGGAAGCTGAAGCTTATCTCTCAAAGTATCAAGATTAGGTTTATATAACCAAACGTCACCTCTCCGAGACACAAGATCCTTACACCGAAACATATTCGGAATCGGGAAGCATCTAGAGACAAACAAAACGTGTCCTCTGAAAAACCCTTTGGCCGAAGCGGCTACCGTTGCAGCCGCCATCTGCAGATGCAATCTCCCGACGTCTCTCGACCAATTCCCTTCTTTACGACAAGGAAGCTTCACGACGATCAGATCGAGTCTTCTTGTAGGTACTTTGATCTTCGGGAGATTTGGACAAACAGGGACCTCTGTTTCTTGCTCCTCATCGATCCACTCTGGATAGAGTGCGTCCCAAGTCACGTTCTTCTCTGCGTAGTCCAGATCCAATACGACGACGTTTTCCTCATCCTCATTGTCCTTAGTCTTGGCTACCTCTCTCCACCGTCGAATCTCTTTCGAGTCGAAATTCAAGACACCGATCGTACGGCCTTCTTCGACGCTCTCGAGGGTTTTGGTCACATCGTCCCAATTAATGTCTAGGTCAGAGACATATCTTGAATCTTGTCGTCTCCATATCCACCTAGTTTCCACATGTGGTCGTATTACATATATCAACACTTTTAGTATTTTGTTAGAATAAAATTCTATTCGCTATAACTTGGATAACTAACGGAAGAAATGATGAAAAGTGGAAATTTATTTTTCAAGAAAATTATTGTAAGCTAACGCAATTCATTAGCATTTGAACAATTTGAGGTCAAGATTGTTAATTTTGGCGATGATTTTTTTTTTTTTTTTAATAAAGGGTTTGCTAAAAAGAAAGAAAGAAAAAAGATTTACCGAGAAGAAGAGTGGGAAAGAGAATGACGATAAGCTTCAGGAGAATAGATGATGGTGAAGAGAGTAGCAGATAGAAAGATAAATAAGAGAATCTTCACGATCTGAAACTTGCTGCAACAACAACAACTATTGTTTTTGTCTTGTGTCGGAAAATTTATGAAATTAAAAGGTTTCACCATATCCGATCTGCCACCGCCTTTACTGTTTCTCCGGAATCTCCTCTTGCATATTGCTTCACTGCTTAAAAGTTAAAAAAACAGAAACACACAAAAACTTTAGACGATTATCTAATTTTGACTCATTTATGGATAAATGAGAGAGTAGTATGTACTTACATGGAAGCGGAGAGGCGGCGCCGAGAGTCTCCGGTTGCAGCGGTGGCTGCAGCAGCGGCGGGAGAGTTAGCCATATAAAACTGGTGGATTTAGACACTAGAATTGGACAAGAGAGAAGAGAGAGCAATATAGATGAGACATAACGTCTCTTTTAATCTTCTTATATCATACTACCTTTGTTTCTATTTTTGTGTTTTTGGAAATAATAGATATGTATTTTGCACACCCACCTTTTCTGCTATATTTTTTTTTTTAATTTATTCTTTAATTTTGTCATGATTTCACTAAGATGTTTAAAAGTTTGTATATAACATGATTTTCAAAAAAGTCCAAGATGCACTGATCAAAGTTGTTTCAAGAAAATGTATATTAATACAGTTTTAATTTTAACCATATTGGAGTACTATGTATGTTGTTACATGAAGATTATATTGTATCAGGCTAATTAATAAAGTATTTAAAAACATGATTTTCCATTATGGATAATTTTGCACGCTTTAGTTTTAAACTCCATTCTGAGTTTTGTAGCTTTCTTAGGACTGATATCTTCCAGCAATATTTAATAATTTCTTTGTGAGACAACCATAATTTATTTTCAAAAATATAAATGGTTTTAAAAAATCAAGATTTAACCATTTTAAAATAAACTATAATACACCAAGGACTCTTTTCTTTATTTACACCCATACTTTTTAGCAATAGAATTAACCAGTTATTCAAATTTAAAAACTTTCTGGTTTTGGGTATTTTGGAACATAACCAGATATATTAGTGACGTATTTTAATAACAAAGCGACCGCTACTATTTAACAATCAGAAATTAATCGATAATTCTAAAAAAGATATATAACGTGTAGTTAAACCTTGGTGGCAAAGTAAGGTGAAGATAAGGTAACGCAGAAAGACAGCTAACACAATAATACACTGATTCATGGCTTGCAAGGTTCAGAGGTCCTGTCAAGAACTGCTTCCACCAAACTTCTTAGTGTTGTGAATTTGTATTTATTTATTGAGTTATCCTCTTTGTCAAAAAAAAGAGTTATCCCATTATATATTAATCTTGATTTTATCGTTTAACTAACTGAGATTAGTATAGGAACAACTACCTCTTGATTAATCAAAGTATGTTCATATTAATCATATTCTGTCAGATTATGAATAATGTTTGAATATCTTAGATGGAAAGGAAAATCTAATGCTGTCGGGAACTTGGTCGTCATTGGCAAAAGAAAAATTACAAGTGAAAGAGGAACTTGGTCAAAAAGGAACATATTAGTATGAATATAAAAATTATCTATTTGTGGGTCGACTGCCACGTCTCTAGATTTCACCGTGGATACATTTGACGCATTTGATCCAGAGTCAAAGAGATTAAATAGCCTAAGTTTGTTTTTATTACATATTGTTCACCAGCTTTTTACTCAAAATCATAATATATATTCGCTTAGTTTTACATGTATGAACGGCCCTAATTCAAAATCAGAATAAAAGTTAAAGATAATCGTAAATGTGAGGGAAAAGTATATGATTTAAATGAAGTAATAACAAAATGATAGATAAAAATAAAATGGTACGAGATTGAATACATGAATTAATAAACATCTAAGCCTCATCATCAACACTTGGAAAGACAAAGACAGGGAGGGACATGTGTCGATCAGAGGACTGATGGAAAAGCTGAACACATATACAAGAGAAGGTGGGGACTTGAAAGCTCAAAGAATGCTTCTGATAGGAGCCTTGCACCCATCGCTACGTATGATTCAAGATATTATATAGTAACACAATTTTTATTCGAATATCCATCATAATTTTCTCAATCACTAAAATTGTGTTTCTTCATATGTGTTCATATACTGTATTAATCTTTACGCACATGTGACATTGTATTGGAAGCAAAGCAAAGGTATTTCGTATGTCGTACATATTTCCTTTCCAATGGCCTACATTTTCACCAAATAGTTTTTTTTTTTTCTGGAACTAAGAATTAGTTTGAACATTGTGAAATTCCAATAATAAGTATTGAAAACTAGAACCAGAATACATTATAGTTGTTTCTTAAAACCAAGATCAAAAAATTCTTAAAAGAAAATGGAAAGGGATCAAAATTCTAAAAATCAGTTGTCGAACTTACAGACAATGACATTAGCACAAATCACTAGATTATAATTTTTGATCAAATCACTGTTTGTATGACCGTGTTGATTGGTTCGTTCGTTACGTTTGCGGTGAACGGTTAGTGGTGTTTTATAAAAATTATAGAAATTGCTTCAAACTGCTCCATATTGTTTTGTAGTACTGAAATCCAAAACTGCTTCACACAAGCGTTTGCGATTGGGAACATTAACAGGTGGATAAAAAAACAGCCATAGAAAAAAAATCATGTTAAAAAAATTTATGAAACTACAATTTTACTGTATTATCTATATATATATATATATATATAATTCCTAATTCTATCACTTTTTATCAAGTTTTAGTTTTCGTACCATAATTACGACTTCTATACCAGTCGAAGGAAGTAGAAACACAAATGTAAATACCATAATATTTTGGAGAAATTAGATCTATTGGGGATAAATCCTGCCATATATTGGAATAATTTTTTCTAGTTTGTTACATTACTGGACTGATTAGCTAGTTGGTGAGGCAATAGGCATGTTATTATAAAATTTATGTTATTATAAAATTTATCAGTTTTTAAATTATTTAGTATTTATTTATAATTTTTTATTATTAGTTATTTTAAAATAGTGATTTTGATAATTAGCATAATAATATAGTTTTTTGTGTTTTTTATAATTATATATTATATTTATTTTTGTAATTTTATATTTAACTGCTAATACATCTCCTCAATAGTCAGTCAAAAATATCTCACAAATGAATCTGCTTTCAACAGTTAAACCAGTCGTGCAAACTGTTAAATGACGCACGAAACTGCAATCGCCCGTTTCTTTAAATTCCTGCATTCGTAACCGCAACCGCTGCATTTAAATTAGTCAAACTTTAACTCAGTCAAAACATGGCCTAATAATGCATATAATTACTATTTGTGATGTTCGTATGAGCAGTTAACTCGATCAAGACGGTATGGTCTAGCTAATAGTATTATTATTATTAAAGCATATCTAAAGAAATCATAGGAAAGAAAAAAAAAAAACAAAGAAGTTAATAGATTAATCTTTTTGTGGCACATATAGAAGATAGAACAGAGAGGACCGTGTAGGTATTTTCCTTCGGCCAGCCAACACTCAACTATATTCCATATTCTTGGATTGAGACTCGATTTTTACTTTTGGAGCATTGCCTTATAAGCAAGTCGTGATTCTTCAATAGCATCTCATATTCTCATACTATAAAATGTTTTGTGTTTTGTGCTTATGTTTTTAATTTGTTTAAGGGGGTCAATACTTAATACTAGTTTATAGCAAATGTAAACGTAGATTAATTTTTAGGGACTGTATAAGTTTTGATTAATACTCTTTTTTTTTAGTATTAAGTATTTAGTATTAGTCTGAATTTTCCTTACTAAGAATCTGTTCACTTCGATTAAAGATGAATAAAAATGTAAATGAAATAAAAGTTTGACCCAAAAGAATAGGATACTTCATTTTTTTCCTTCTTCTAAAATTATATAAACAATCGTTATACAACATATTACATTTGAGTAGCAATGAGAAGGAGGATAAAGGAAAATTAAAAAAAAATGCAACAAGAGTAGAGAAATACATGTTTTGAGGACCTCTGTGTACCTCCAATTATAAACTCAAATTTTGTCAATAGACACTTTGGTTTCGTTTTAAAATAGTTGCAGTACTTCATTTATCTTTTAGTTACTTTCATGCAAACATAATAAAGATTTATTCAGACTTAAAACTTATTTTATCATCATCTTTTTTTATTTAGCCAAACAAATATTTTTATTTTCAAATGATTAATTTGAATTTTTCTCTTAAGAATGAAATTTTGTCTATACTATATTGCGTTGTCGCTATTTATTTTTTTCTTAAGGTTCGTTACAAAAATACTAAATTAGTACTACTGTATTAGAAAGTTTTCAGTTCTGGGCTAAACTAATTAGATTAGAAGTCACGGCGAGTAAATCACCAGTGTAGTTCGCCGGCGAGAGAATCTAGGATTTTTTATAAGCTGGCATTTCCTTTGGTGTATTGCAGGAAGATAGTGGCTAAGAGATAAGCATTGGGAGTTTGATACCTCTTTGTGAGTGAGAGGGTTTATATTTAAACAAGCTTTAGACCATCTCAATTCTAGAGACTCTAATGGTATCTTAGCTTAAAAAACCATTAAAAACCTTAAAGATTTTATGTTATAGCTCTAAGATACGGATCAGTTGTTAATGGGTTTGTAAACACATGTATGGCTTTTATTGGTTTGGGGGAGGTATGAAAAAATTGGGTCAAAAAATGGACATCTCGTCTTGGGGCAAAAAACGGAGTATAAGGGATGGACATGAAAAACAAGAAGAGATCCTTAATTTTTTTTAAAAAATTTAGCATCCCCATAGATGCTCTTAGGATGTTTTGTCTTAATATTGAAATTATGTTGTTTAAATGCGAGCTATAGTGTATTTAATGCTGCCCTGCCCCAAACATTAAGGTTAGCTTAGAGCATCATTAACCATGTATCTAACAGCATTTTTTATAGAAATTTAATATTAAAAAAATTGTAATCGATTTTTTTATTTTCAGATATGTTTCTTATTTGAAGATTTTTTGAGACGTATTTTCCCTTACGTGTCAGCTTTTTATTCGCTAAAAAATTTGAAGATAACATTTTTTTTCTCTCTTTATCTATTCCCCCATCATTTCTATTCCTCGACTTTTCGGATCTTCTCGACGAAATCGATGAAAAATTCTTCCTTTCTTCTCTGACGGATTTTCCGACTGGTCGCGGTTCTCCAACATTAGTTGGAAAACTGACAACCTTTGGTGACGTCGCTGCAGATAAGCTTTCTAAACCCTAAGAATTGGGGTTTTTTTGTAAGAATTGGGGGATTTTGTTTTTGATAATTTTTTTTTGTTACTTTGGCATTGGGGGTTAATTTGCTTCGATCCACATCTATTTGAATAAGAAATCGATTGAAAGTGGTGGTATTGGTTTAGGCTTTCATTGTTTGTGCTTGAGATAGTTGTGATTTTATGCAATGAAAATACATTAACTATCTCTCTCTTTTTTTTTTGGAACAGCACATTAACTATCTCTCCTATTCTACCTCTTCTTTCCTTATTCTCACTCTCTTCTGTCACTTCATCTCTTTTCTTCTTCTCATTCTCAAAATGGAAACAATTCCCCGACGCAGCAATACAGAATCTTGTACCTCAACGAAACGAATCAAAAACCTAGACCGGATCCCAAACGATCTCGTCATTGAGATACTCTCAAGATCGCCGGCAAAGTCTGTCACGAGATGGCTCTGCTTATCAAAGTCCTGGGCTTTCACGCTTCGCAGCCGAAGTTTCACGGATTTGTTCTTGACCAGATCATCGTCTCGCCCTCGAATCTTGTTCACCTTCCATAAAAACCAAGACTTTGTCTTCTACTCGGCACCTGAGATCCAAAATCAAGACGAGAACTCGATTCTTGCGGCCGCTAATCATCGCATGGTGTTACCCGTTGACTGCTCTGGGGTTTGCGGCGGTTTGGTCTGTCTCACGTATCTGAAGGTCGTAAGCGCGAGTACGAAGAATACAATGACGGTGATATGTAACGCGACCACGGGACAATCCTTATCTTTGCCCAAAGTGAAGACGAGGAGGATTGGTGTGAAAACCTTCTTCGGGTATGATCCGATTGGTAATCAGTTCAAGGTTTTGTCCATGACATCTGTTAAGAAAGAGAGCTGTGTCGAGCACCAAATCTTGACACTAGGGACTAAGAAGCTTTCGTGGAAGATGATCGATTGTTCCATACCCCATTATCCTATAAGGAGTGGTGGGATATGCATCAATGGTTGTGTCTATTATCACGCTTTGGTCAATGAGGCTCATCATGACATGAAAGATCAAGCTTCTCCAAGCGTTCCTGGGATTGTTTGCTTTGATGTTAGGTCTGAGAGGTTTAGTTTCATCAACAAAGCTGAGGACATGGAAGTATCACAATTTCAGCATCCACATCTTGTAGATTACAAGGGTAAATTGAGTGCTCTTTCGTCGGATGGGTATGGATATTTTACTGGCGAAAGGATAAATCTTGAGTTGTGGGTTCTACAAGACGCTGAGCAACATCAATGGTCCAAGCATGTATACATAGTGCCCACTTTGTTGAAGAATATGGTTGCAGGGGCCTTGTTATGCTTTGTTGGAGTGACTGAAACAGATGAAATCATGTTGTCCTATCATAGCAAAACCGAACCTTTCTACGTCTTATGCTACAACATCGTGCATAATACTGTCAGGAGAGTTCAAATCCAAGGAGCAGAGGCGATAAGCTATCTTACTAGACTTCGCATCAATCTACACCATGTTGAGAACTTGAACATTATGTAAAGATCATTGGCTATTACTTTCTCTTTAGGCTTATTGGACGACAATTTCTTGTTTTGTATCCAAACTAGTAGTGGTCTGTTTCATACACTAAGGAGAAATGTCTGTTTCAAGGTAAAGACCAGTTTTACTCAAATCTGTGGCATTTTTTTTTTTTTTTTTTTGTCAACCTGTGGCATTTTTTAGTTTTGATTTCTACTAGTTGTGAAGAAAAAAAAAAATCATTCTATGGAAAACATTTAACATCATACAGGAAATGTCTTCTTCTTATATAACAAGCTCTGATAAATTTAAAACTAAGAAATACAGATAACAAGGATAAAATATACTCTGTTTTTTTGTTTTTTTTACATTAAAAATTGTAACTATTTACACTCTTAAAACTTAAAAAGTCTCAGCTTATGCAAAAAGGAAAAAACAAATAGTGGATTTGTGGAGAATGGTATGAGATGTTCCAGAAACAAACGGGATTAGGCTTTGAACAAAGCCCACATGTATGAGTAACCTATAAATAAGACTCTTCAAAATATTAATATCTCAGAGACTATACAAATAAAAATTCTATCAACGGGCTTTCTGAAAACCAAGATCAAAAAATTCTTAAAAGAAAAAGGAAAGGGATCAAAATACTAAAAATCAGTTGTCGAACTTCCAGACGATGACATTAGCACAACTCACTAGATTATAATTTTTGATCAAATCACTGTGTGTATGACCAATTAACTCGATCAACATGGCCTAATCAAAATTATAATGCATTTAATCACTATTTGTGATGTTTGTATCATGAGCAGTTAACTCGATCAAGACGGTCTGGTCTAATAGTATTATTATAATTAAAGCATTTCTAAAGAAATCATAGGAAAGAAAAGAAAGAACAAACAAGTTAATAGATTAATCTTTTTGTGGATATATCGAAGATAGAACAGAGAGGACCGTGTGTAGGTATTTTCCTTAGGCCAGCCAACACTTAAATATATTCCACTTTCTTGAATTGAGACTCGTTTTAAACTTTTGGTGCATTGCCTATGTAAGCAAGTCTTGTAATTCTTCAAGAGCATTTGATACTTCTACTTGTACAAACGAACAAGTAGAACAAGAGCACCCATTTTTATTTCATCCCACTAACTTCATTAGTCGATCGGAGAGAAAAACTCGAAATTGTATCAAATGAATAGAGAACTGGGTCAAGCAACCTTCTGATCATATCTCGATGATGAAAGTAGCTGCGGCTGTGCTCCATACGATTGGCTAGAGTTATTAATATTCGATGATAAATATTATTCTCTCGAGAAAAGCTTAAAAAAATCGCCGAGACTGGCGAGGCTTATCAAAAACTCTAGGGAAATAAGTGGAGCAGAAGATCTCAAGTAGCACCGGAAACTGAAGAACACCGAACATACCCACCGGAATCACCGCGAGCAACATAAACTGAGCCGAAACCCACGTCGTTGTTTTTGTTTTAACACTAAACAGGGTCATGAGCGTCACGACAAAACTCACCATCATCGTCGCCATCGAGAGAAACAAAGACGCAAGACCCAAGATCAGTTTGGTCGGAAGCGATCGAAGAAAATCCTCTTCGCGGTAACGAGACTTGAGAATGCCGAGGAACATGAGCAGAGACATACATGATGTGAAGAGAGAGATAGCGTCCGAGATGATGAAGATCATGAATAGTTTATAATGGTGGTCGTAACTTGCGGGGATGGTAAACGCAGAGGAGAACATCATTGTGGTGATTAGAGCCGCTACTACTGTGCAAGAAGTCGCTGTTTCTTTCATCCATTTCTCTCCTTGATCCACCAGATCCTTGTGTTGGTCTTTAAACAGAGCAGCTGGAGTTTTCTTCTGCTTCAAGTTAATCATTTTTCGATGCTTCGGTTGCACTAGCCTCTCCACTTCCTGAAAACAAGACAGAGTTATATCTACAACCCTAGTTTCCTGTTGCATCAAAGCAGTTTCTTGTTTAACAAGAAACATTCATATATATAACTATATATCACCTTAAACCATTGTAACTCCCTTTGCATCTGAAGAGCAGCACCGGGAATGAGGTTAAGCCGTGAAGCTGGGGCCCGATATGCGGCGTGATGAAGCATATTGTTATGAAGTTTGTCCCAAGCTGTAGCGAGGATGTTCTTCTTAGCACCCATTTTGTAAATGAGACTAAAGATCTTCTCCTGTCTCTGACTTACCGCGTAGAAAAAGAGGTTAAGACCATAACTATCTTTGAACCATACAATATCAGGATAATGCTTCATCACTTCCTCGATATACTCGACGATACCATTCTCTACCGCCTTGAAGAGAGCTTGGTTTAGACCCGCGTTCTTCTGTTGAGTGGCGTCAAAGTTAGGTATCTCTTGGCAGATACAGTCTAGTATCTCTTTGGCTTGAGCATGTCCTAGCTTTAGTTTGTATACTTGTCTTATGTGTGGAACTGTCGATAAAATATTTCATCTGATACTGATTAAAATTAAATCAACAACTAGGGATAATGATTCGAGATGATTTGTGCTGCTTACAAAAAAAACTGAGGTATTTCAACAACTTCTCGTAAATTGTATTATGATCTTCTGATTTCATGTACTGATGGTGATGATGATTCATTACTTCATATGGGTTGGTAATCTTCTCTATGTGAATACCTTCAAGAGAAAACCATGAATTTAACAATCAATAATTGATAAAACCAAACTTCCTAATAAAAAGAAATTTTTTTATATATATGTAGTCTTCACTTAATAAGCATAAGCTAAGTGTAAACTCACAAGAATATACCCAGCGTTGCCAAAACGCAAGATGGATACCGCTAGGGAACGCACAAGGCGTTTGCGCGAGCGCTATGATCGCTGTATCGTTATCGCTGTCTCGAGTATAAGCCAGCTTAGGATACCTCTGGATCAGATCCAAAGCAATACCTTTATATCTACGTCACATTAGCCACATCCTGTGAACATTATATAATCATATAATCATCATTAGGAACTTACCATATAGTCCATCGACAATACAATTGGTCACTAGCATCGCACCGTTCTTGCCCTTGTGTTCATCTGACTCATCACAAGGATCAAGATCACTGAGAGGTGTGTGATTGTAAAGATACCGAACCAGATCTTTGTGACCATACAACGAAGCCACCACGATCGGTATATGCTCTTTTGCGTTCCGAACACTAACCGAGCTGGGACATTTATTCACCAAACACTCTGCGATTCTCACAATCCCACCAGTGGCAGCATAAGCAAGCGCCGTGTAACCATTATCGTTCTTGATCTCCAACACTTGCTCTGGATCGTGGATTCGTCTAATGATCTCTTCCACGATATTTATGTGACCTGACAAAACGGCTTTATGGATTGGTCTGTCTCCGTTGGAGGTTAAGCTAGCGGTTAAAGCCTCAGGGTTTCGGTCCAAGAAATCTTTCGTGGCTTCCAAGTTTCCACTGTCTATGGACTTGAAGAGGACGAGATAGGTCGAGTTCTCTTGTCGTATCTGATCTCCTTGTGGTAGCTCGTGTGCTTCATCGAGTTGCATACTCTCTGACTGAAAACTTCTGCGGCCGGTTTCTGGTCGTAGACTGTCTGCTCTGAAACCTCTGGGATAACCCTTTTCAGTATCCATTTTATCGGTTACTTCTCCCGAAAGAAACGAGACGGCAGGTTTGTGTCTGTGTAAACTTGGTCGTATATATATAATTTCTGTAAAAGCAAACAGAGCTTTCCGTTATTCGGACAGAGACATGAGTAAAGTGTCAAAAGAGGGTAACTTGCTTTTGAAGAAAGGTTTAAAGGACAACAAAAAAAAACGAGAGAAGGATTTAACATTACAATACCAAGAAATCTTGACCGTTCGTATAGGAAGTATTTGAAGTATTTTCTTCTTTTTTTTGACAAAGCAAATTTATTACTTAAATAAAAACCTGGCCTAGCCAAGAAGATTTTCTTCTTTATTCCCATTTTTTGTTTGGTTTTTACTTTTAACTGTTCCTGTGAATAGGAGACGGAGCTTTAGTGTTACTATTTTACCTCATTGCGAAGCAAAGAACTTTTGTTTTTCTTTGCATTAAATAAATAGATAAGATGCAGTAAACTTTTGTTTTTCTTTACTTCTCCCGAAAAAAAAAATCTATTTTACCTCTCAAAATCGATTTTTTTTTTTTTTTTTTTTTTTGCATCCATGTAGAAATCCTTAACATATAATTGTTTTTTCTTCCACAAACTAGGTCTTCTGAATTGATATAGTAATAGACTAACAGGATAAAAAAATCGTTAGATTTTCCTCATAAACAAACAAGATCCTTTCCTTTGAAAATATTAGTAGTAATCTTAGGAAGAACTTCTAAGCGACGATAAATTCATTGAACAATACGATTAATCCTTACCTCCGTTAGAAAATTATTAATTCTAGTCTCATTTGCTTTATTTCAGTGGAATTGTGGACGAATAAAAAGAGATGCGTTTTATGCAAAACTCTGTGCAACACACTGAAACCTAAAAGAAACAAAACGTTGGAACTGAAAGTAAAACTAAAACAATCGAAATAATAGCACTTCATATGTTATTTGCTATGAACGGAGACTAATGAACCGAACCAGTGTAAAAAATGATCAAAGAGCTTCTGAGAGAAAATTGGTACATAACATCTTAGTCCGTATTCTAATAAAAGAGCTTGGCATCGTGGTTTGGTGTCAACATATAGCATGAGTGCATGACGAGTCCCGCGGGTTCGAGTGGAGAAGCGTGCAATTTTCTTTATAACAGAAAAAAAAAACCATCTTACTAAATGATTTTGAAATTGCACTCTACTAGTCCTTGACAGCGACAAGTAACTAAGTAGGGTTAGTCACATACGCGCTTTCTCAGCCATCTACTGTCTGATAGGTTCGGCAAGTGATGGATGGTAGAAGTATTGCTTGGTTAAAATTGAGTGTTTCATAAGATTTGGGTCCTGTAAGAGTAAGACTCTGCCTTCATTTTAATGATATAAGTTATACAAAACAAAAAGTTACAATTTTTAAATGGAAAGAATACCCATATCTACATAAGATTTGGAGGGTTTCATATTGTAATTTGATGTAACATACTCCTTCCAATCTAAATACATTTTGACATGTATCAAAACTTTGTAAAGTGATAAATATAATATAATCTTCTTGTTTGACCAAAAAAAAAAAAGATAAATATAATCTCCTATTCTTATATGCATTCAATTTTCTGTCTAAGATAAACATTAAAAATGCGGGATTTCGTAGGTTATTTTTCTTCTATTTTCTTTTTATCATAAAGAAAAAAAGAATAACAGCATCACAACACTGTAGGAAGTCTATTAATTAGTTTAATGACATTCGAAATAAAACCTTATCTTCGCAGACTCAAACCCTTCTTTTGCCGGCGAAAGTTTCTCTACTGAACATATCAGTAAATATCATCAGCCTCGTCTCTTCTTAGATCTCGATCGTTCTCTCCGGCAATGGCGATTCCGTTGCCCCTCACCTCTTACTCACCAATCTCAACTTCTTCTTCTTCTTCTTCTATTTCCCGAACCTCTTTCGTACCTCTCACATCTCGCCAGGGTAATTTCTTCTCCGATCAGAGTTTCAGTCGGCGTCTACCTATCAGCTGCTCGTCGTCTTTGTCCTCGAACAATGGTTCAACTCCAGAGTCTATGAACGGGAGGTATTAATCTTCAATTTCTAACCATACGTTCGTCCACCAAGTGTTTGTGAAATTTCGTCAATGAAGACACTTTTGGCTATAGGGCTTAGGATTTGATTAAAATATACTGCACAAACTGATCTTTTTTATTCCCTGTTGAAGTAAACCTGAAACGCATCATAAAAACTAAAACTGTGGAGCTCTGTTTGCTTTTGTTAAACTGTGCTGCCGTTATCTGTGATTTTTCAGTGGCTTAAATGCGCAGTCATCGTTTCCTGGAATGCCTTCCTTCGATGGAACATCCAAACCACCGCTTAAATGGAGAAGGGTTTTACTCAAAGTCAGTGGAGAAGCTCTTGCTGGAGACGAGGAGCAGAATATTGACCCTAAGGTTTTTGTGATGCAAACAAAAAAAAAAAGTCTCCTTGTTTCTGTTTTTTCCTTCTCCATAAATCTCATCCATCTTCCCACTAATCTAATTAGGTGACTATGTCGATTGCAAGGGAGGTTGCAGCAGTGACTCGCCTTGGCATTGAGGTTATTCTCGAAACGTTTTTGTTCTAGTTGTGATTGGGTAACTGTAACATGGATTTAGCGGTTCTTAGTGGTTGGGTATATAGCTTTGAGCTCCTTCCTAGACTTGTTGATTGACACAAGTATGATAAAATGCAATTTTTACTCTCCAAAGTATTGATAACTGCCTGTGTAGAAGCTACAAACTATGCTGAAAACTAAATAGTATGAACTTGCAAGAAACGGGAGCTTAAGTCATGAGGCGGAGATTTACGCTTTAAGCATACGCAAAGGATGATGGGTACTAGGCATCGCAGAGTCCTGTATCCTCTGTCTTGATCTTCTTATGCTTTTACATCAGGTTGCGATTGTTGTTGGAGGAGGAAACATCTTTCGTGGATCCACCTGGGCTGGGTGCAGTGGCCTTGATCGTTCCTCTGCTGATTATATCGGGTATCAGATCCATACTTGACCTCTGCTGCCACACAAATCTGAACTTTCCCTACCGAGTTATCTTGTTCCTCATTTTTCGAACAAAACTTGGCTTTTGGTCTCTCATTGGTTTCATCTACATTTTGACAGGATGCTGGCAACTGTGATGAATGCAATATTTCTTCAAGCGACAATGGAGAGTATCGGCATCCCAACACGTGTTCAAACCGCTTTCCGCATGTCGGAAGTCGCAGAGCCTTACATAAGAAGAAGAGCAATTAGACATCTAGAAAAAGGCAGGGTTGTGATATTTGCAGCCGGAACAGGCAATCCGTTTTTCACCACCGATACTGCAGCAGCTCTTCGCTGTGCTGAAAGTAAGTAAAAGGTTGTTTCTTTCTGTTCAAAAATTTCTCCATTGGTTCATTTTCCCTTATATCCTTCGCCTTTGACACAGTAAATGCGGAAGTGGTGCTGAAAGCAACAAATGTTGATGGAGTCTTTGACGATGATCCTAAACGAAACCCAAACGCTCGCCTCCTGGATTCACTAACTTACCAAGAAGTAACCTCAAAGGATCTATCCGTGATGGATATGACTGCTATCACTTTATGCCAAGAAAACAACATCCCAGGTTTGTTTTCGAAAAAACACAACACTCTCAAATCATAACCAAAAATCATCATCCAAATTCAACAATAAGTATATGTTTTGGTCTGCGGCTTTGCAGTTGTGGTTTTCAACCTATCTGAGCCTGGAAACATTGCGAAAGCCATCAAAGGAGAGAGAGTTGGTACATTGATTGGAGGAACTTGGAACTCTATTGTTGCAGCCACTTGAAGAAACTTATAACTACTTCTCGGTCTTGTTCCTTATATAGTAGCTTAGGTCAGGAGAATCTTATAACTCCTGTATATAGTTTGCAGAAACTTTTTAGTTTCTAGGAGGAATCTATCTGTATGAAATTTTTGAAGTTAAATTGAGATGTTATGGTTTACATGAAAGCTCATTTTGAACCCTTTGGGCTATTTTTTGGGATATATGTCTAAAAATGAATAAAATTACAGAGCAAAATGAAAAGTCTAAACCTTTTCTTCTTCTAAAGATCCCAAATATGATTAAAGACTTCAGCAAAAGTTGGAGAAGCAGCCAAACTAGCATAACCAGGACTGTACATTACAAACGGGCTCATTAATCCCGCCGGCGAAAACAATCCCGGCGGTATCGCCGGCGAAAACATCCCACCTTGATGAATCATCGGCGAGAATATCCCGGCAGAAGCTGTCGGCAACATAGCCGGAGACGGCGAGAGTATTCCCGGCGCATAACCACCGAATTCAGCTGCCTCTTCCATCGCCGTCGCGATTTCCACCGTCTCATCTTTCGCCGCCGGTTCCTTCCCTCCTCTCGGACTAGCATTCTCCGTCGCGGCAAGTCTCGCCGCCGGTGACACATCTCCGCCGCTTCCGGATTCGAGGAAAACACCAGAAGAAATCCCGGTGAGACGCTGGACGACGTTCATGAAATCGGAGGCTGTGGTGTGTACGACCTTCGGCGAGACGGCGTAGATAACCACCGGCTCTCGAGCAGCATACGGCGGAGCTTGGTCGCGATGATGATGTTGCGGCGGCGGCGCAGGGTGCTTAGGAGGTTTCTTGATCTTGTGAGAGTCTTTGTGGACGCTGAGAGGTGAAGGACGAGGACCACAGATCTGAAGCTGCCGTTTTTGGTTCTGTTGATCGGAAGGATTACCGCCGGCGAAATACTCCGACGGATCCATTGTGAGAAAATCTCTCTAGCTCTCTTAACAATCGAATTTTGTTTCTCTCTGTGTGTTTTTACTTGTTTGGTTTGGGAATTGAATGAATGAAATGTTTTTGTCGACGAGTAAATTGACCAAAACATCAACACCAACAAAAAGAAGTGTTAGAAGTTAGAACGATTAGTTTGACTTCAAAATATTGACTTTTTGCATCCAACTAGACTTTTACAGCACATGCTCAATTTAGGAAACTCCTAATCTTGTCTTTCATAGAAAGTTAGTAGGAAAGATCTTAGGAATCAATTCATTATCAGCCGGCAACATTATAATAATTTATTTTCAATGATCAAGTGCTAAGCCATACAATTAACGTATAATACTATTATTTGTGAGAATTGAACATGCATGTTCTAGAATTTACGAAAAATATGGTAACGATCAATTCTTAGTACCTGAGCTATTGATGACTGCATGCATAGAAGTAACAACCCTAAGAGAAGGACTTATAACATGAGTTGTTTTCTCTTCGTTTCACAATAATGTTTTTACTAAATGTCTAAAACCAAAATTGTTTTAGGAAAGATCCCTTTAGAGATTTAATATGTATTCTAGCTAGAACATACTGAATGTATTTGGTCTCTACTGCAAAAAAAAACAAATAAAATGTGTAAAATAAAACATAAGCTCAAAAATAAATTTATTTTCAGGAATATAACAAAAGAAAATTAATTTGTTTGCATGAAAAATGACGTAGCCATACTGATTTTAAATGGACAAGTTATAAGTGTATTTTTTTCCAAACGAAAATGATAATAACATATTACATATACCTCTATCGGAATTTTTTTACCATGTTCGGTTATTTCTGTTAACCCATTATTATTGTTGTTTTGTTGTTGTCACAAAACCCGGCTTTTCGATCAAACTTTCGGAAGTGGGCATTTCATTTCTTTATCCAGAGCCCACACTGTGCATCTAGTTTGGCCCAAAAATTAGTTTGTTAATCACTCAACTCTCGTGAGATTCAAACTCTCGGACTGGAACAATAATTTCAAAGAGATGTAAAAAAAGAGCATCTGAAAGAGGTAAGAGTGTATAGGAAAACAAGTCTATGTAATAAGAAAGAGCATCTGAAAAAGGTAATACTTTCTTAACGTTAGTTGTAACTTGTAAACAAGATCTTAAATAGTAAGAACAGAAAAACTAGCAGAACATATGAACTGTGGTAAGATGTTTTTGGTTCAATGACTGAAATTTTTTAATACCAAAACTTAAAAAGAGTAACATTTTGCATAGTTTTATGAAATTCAGAATGAATCCCGCGTCTAGTTTATGCGTGTTGTGTGTTATTTTTTATTTAAAGATAATTAAATTCGTTTATTATATAGACAACAGATCGAAATTTGTTAATGTTTATATCTTCCATCGTATATGATGGTGTAATAGTCGATTCATAAAACACAAATGATTTTATCAGATCATTTTAACTATCCTAAAAATATTTAAATATTTCATTAAATCTGAAAAAGTATATAATTTCCTACTAGACAAATGGATAGTTTTTTTTGTGTCTTGACAATGACAAGTAGAATAATAAGTTGCAAATCAAATGTTGAAGCAAGTACCATTCAAATCAAAACTCGAATAAAATAAAAGTGAGAATAAAAAAAGCGGGTGGGTGTGAGAGAGGCATGACCATAAAATGTTGCAACGTCCTCTAACATAAAAAATAAAAGTAAATTATTAAAAGGTAGTTTACAAGATTTAAACATTTGTGAGACCACATTTTATTTGTCACTTCAATCCAAGGAACCATATTCCTTTACTTTGGTTTAGTGAGCAAAGATTATATAACCATCCATTTTACGCATGTTAATACAACTTTTAGGCAGATTCAATGGACCAAATTTAAGATTAATCTGAGTCCATGAAGCTGTTATATGAATTTGATAGTATCAAAGTGCTAGCCAATAGAATTTCATCTATAGCCTCAGCTAAAAAGTTCTAAGTAATCAGATAATGGTCACTCACTTGAGATCCCTTCACTGCCATCTAATCTCGCTACAAATTTTTAATACTGTTCTATAAAGTATTTGATTTTTTTTTTTTTGCGACATTTTATAAACTAATTGCTCAACGTCAGGATTTTAATAGTTTTAAATATATCAAAAACATGTCACTACGAATTGCTAATATTTCAAGTAGGATACAAACTTGAAACATACGATATCACTATCTTCAAACCAAAACCAGAAGCAGTAGGAAAAAAATAACGAGAAATAGAAAATTTGAATATCGGAAAAATTGATCACAGTAACAAAACTTTTTTTCTTATAATGATTTACAATAATATCTCTACGTTCAAAATAGTGAAAAAATCAAAAAGGCGTAATATGAGTGGTTTTGGTCTCATAAGCAGCCAAAGCAGATGCAGATGAATTAATCTTCAACACTTTAATCACATCTTTCGCCATTTGTCTCACCATCGGCGAGCAGTTGCTCTGTATCACCACCAAAAGCTTCGTCACGCCGTTACTTCTCTCCACCGTCACCTCCGCCTTCTTATCTTCCCGGAAAACGTAGCACAGACACCACAGAATCGTCACGGCGTGCTCCGTCGCGGTCGTCGATACTTTCAACACCTTATTCACCACTCCTTCCACGCATCTACCTCCGTCTCCGCCGCAGATCTCCGATCTACCTTCCTTCCTCGACGACAGCGTCTCCAGCAGCTTCAGCGATTTCTCCGTCACCGCGACGCTTGTTGCCTCCTCCGTCAGGAGAATGTCTTTGATCTTCGTGATTGTTTTCGCGGCGATTAGTTTCGATCTGACTCGTTTCGGTTTCGAGATTGTGATTAGGAGAGATAGACTCGCTTCGATCAAGGCGGGGTCGGACTCTGTGCTGATTGATTTGATCAGCTCCGTTAAAATCCCGTCGCGTCCTGCGATCACCAGTTTCGATTGAGCGTCGAAGGAGATCAATTCCAAAACCCTAATCGATTCGATCTTCGATTCCAGATTCCCGCGCTGTATCGCGACGAGAATCGAATTCAAGCAATCGCTACTTTTCGCCAACATCAGATTCGATAACCGTTCCCGATCTTCTTCATTCTCTCCCTTGATTACACTATCCAAAATCCTAATTGCTATAAGAACCAGCTTGATCTTCGTCGTCGTGCGTGTTCCTGAGATGATATCGACGAGCATTGGCACGAAATCCTTTTTCCCAGAGAGGAAATCTCTGTTCGCGTCGGAATACTTCACGAATCGAACAATCCTCGACAGAGTCTCCAGACGACGAATCTCATCGTCCTTATCGAGACTCAGTCTCTTCAACGACTCATTCACTTCTTCCATCGTCGGAATCCCTCGAGCAGACGCCGGATTCGGAGGCGGAGAACCACCGGCGTAACGGCCGACGGAATCGGACCAGACTTTGATTAGACGTTGAAGCGTGAGATTCGGAACGAATTCCTTTGTTCGGAGAACTTGCATAGTGGCGGGACAAGTGTTGTTGCCACCGTCGAGCCACCTCTGAATACTTGCACGGTCGTAGGTAACTCCGGTGCAGAGGCTAACGGGAGATTTCATCACGTCTAGAGATATCGGACACCTGAAGAAGCTAGGCACCGTAATGTACGTCTCGGTTTCAGCTCTCCCCATCGGAGAAAATATCAGAGAAAATCTGGCGAGAAAATGCGGGAAAATAAAGTGTTTGAGGATTGAGAGAAAACGATGAAATGCTCTCAAGTGAAAGGTGGGGAAGGAAGTGAGTGGAGGTGGTTTTAAAGAGAGAGAGTCAAACGCACGCTTGCGTCACCGTTTTGAACCTACAACATATTATTATTCGTTTCTCTTTTCCTTTTTTCTTTTTTTTTTCATTATATTCTTAATAATTTTACATTCAAGAAAACATTCGGTCCTAAATATTCCCTAGACATGATAGTTTCTGGATATATAATATAGTACTACTAGTGTGTATTAAAAAAAAAAAAGTTAACGAAATGAATAATCCAGTTGACAAGTCAGAAATTAGGTGTATGTAAGAATTAAATTTGTGTATTTAATACGAAATACTGAGAGATTCAACTAATTACTGGTCTTGGGTCAAAAATCAAAGTCCGTCGTCTGTGACTGTGAGTGTTTTGCTCGGTCAAATGTCGTAACCGTTAGATCTGTATTTTGATGGGAGCTTTGACCAACGGTGCCGATCTTTATACACGTGTGAGTTAGGAGGCCACAAGCGTGTGGATAATAGTGGGACCCATCTTCTGCACGAGGGGCCTAGTCCGATCTCGTCGAGAGCACAACAATGCACATGGACTTGGTCCATTATCTATCTTTTTATTTAGTACTACATTTTTTGATGGAAAACAAAAATGAAATTAAAAGATAATTTTTGAATCAGAAAACCGAACAATCATTAAAAAGCAACGTTACAATATTCGTGTATAAGCCAGAACAAACTCTGACTCAGCAAATACTGAAAATTGTGGTACAGATAATATAGAAGCTGATATTGGTCATGGCCGAATAATATTTTGACATTTCTGTTTGCATTATTTATTAAGATTTTGTTAATGTTGTTATAATAGTGTTGTGGCTTCCACTACGGAAAAAAGAAATTAACAATTTTATTATTCGAGTAATAGTTGTTTGATTCGGGGAGAAAAGCAAAAGCGTTTCCTTATTTTTGGACTGTCATCTTCAGGTCAAATATAATGTTTTACATAATAAATATAATATTTCGTGATGAGCTATAATGTATATAAATTATAAAATTATTCGAAGATCCATAACACATTGTAGTTCTCTCATAATTATTATATATAAATCTTAAAAAAAGTATTATATATATATGTGCGTGTGTGTGGTTAGACTGCCTAATTGCCTAATTAAGCTGTATAATTGACTAACAAAAATAATGGATTGTACTTGGCATATAATTCAAATTCAAAGGGGATTTGAGTTTGGTCCTTTTGTTTATTATCTATTATTGCTTTAATTGCTCACGTACGGCTGTGCCATTTGTATAATACATAACTCTAAATGATAAAATAAGGGTGGGGGTGCTTTGCATCTAGTACATTCGGTTTATAGTTTTAGTTCGTGTTTGTTTTGTTTCAGTTTCTTTGCTTATCTTTTGTCTTTAATGTTTCAGTTTGTTTATCATCCCTCTCTTGATCAATTAATTTATTTTTGGCCTGCATAATTAATTTAGATGATCTTGTATAGCTTCTTACTTTGAATTTTAAGAACATTTGAATTTGACTTTTCGTGTATGATATAAGCATAGGGTGACCGAAAGTTGCTGGCCTAATAGGATAATCAAACTTAGGTGTTGAAAGTACTTCAGATTTCATAGGTAGGAGACGGGTGAAATGCTCGCTGACTCGTGCGACTCATTTATTTTAATAGTTGGTGTAAATAAGTTTCTCATAACTAGTTTAATAATAAATTAGGTTTAGCATAATTAAACGGGTATGATCATGACAGTAATAGCTGCTTATAAAGCGTGAGACCTTAGCAACATTATGATAGAGACATTGATAGACCATAGTAGTCGGATCGATTAGTTACTGAGTCCATGTGGATTTAGTCCGAATTTGATGAATTCCATCACGATTTTAACAAGAAAAATCATCAGATTGATGATTGTGGTATTGGCAATGTAAGTGCATGTCATCTTGCAACATGTCATATTTGGTATAGCTGATGATCATAATTTCTTGAAATTATAACACGTCGATGGTCTATAGTGAAATAAATGGTAATTAAGTAGCTATTAATTAATATACTTTTGTTTTTTTCAAATTATTTTTTGTTTATAATCATTTTCTAGCAGACGACTGAAATGGGTATATATATACTCGTGACTCGTGAGCATATAATTTGCTAATTGCGTATTACAGGGTAACATTTGCACCGAAAGAAAGTTAAAATATAATGATGCGAACGTGCATCATTGTCTACAATAAGCAATTATGCCAAATCGGAAAAAAATGTACGCCATATTATCTCACCTTTTAATAAATTACCTCACTCATTATCTGATTCATCCATTATTGTTCTTGGTGGACAATCATTTTCGTTTGTCCTCATATGTAACTAACTTTTCTCTTTTTTTGCATATAATGTATATATCTAACTGGGAAAAATTGTATTTCCTAATAACAAAACAAGTATCGTTTTTTTTACAGAAAAATGATAAACGTGAGATGGGTAAAAAAAACGAGATTTTACATCATATCTTTTCTTCTAGCACGTTGATAATAATACATTTTAAATGTTAGGACTTTGTATAATTGTATGTATCTATAACTGGGGACAATCCTATCCACAATAAATTAAACGAGGTTGAGACTTCCATAACTTTAATTTCACAATCTTGCATATCTCCGTTTTATAATAAGTGTCATTCTGACATATTTCACACATATTAAAAAATTAATAAAATATACAAATATACTCCTAACTAATATACTTTTATAACATTTAATTACAAAGACTATTATCTTTAAATGATAGATAAAACAGGAAATAAGAGTAAAAAATTACATTGAAAATACAAAATGACTTTTTTTTGACACAAAAATAAAATCTAAAACGACATTTATTATAAAACGGAGGGAATATGAGACTTCAATCTCAACTCCATGGTGTAGAATCTCTTAATCTCTCAACTCTTCCTATATATCTCATCTGATATAAATACAGATTATCCATATTCCATACGATATATAACTATATATGTTTTCTGTGAATTTACGATTTTAAATAATTTATGAGTTTACATGTTCGGTAAAAAAGCTTTATTATATATGGTGGTTTTTTTTTTTTTCCGCATATGGTGGTTAAATGGCGAAAGACAATTCTGCATGACGCGTATTCAAAAATTAGTTATCCATAAATTGATGGTCTAAGTAGTTTCTTTTTTGTTTGTAAAAGTTGATGGTCTATATAGTTCAAAATAAATATTGGGTTAAGATAGAGATATGAAGAGGAATCGAGTTCCAAAATTGTGGGGTTGTGTTTCATATCATTCAGAGGTTTCCAGAGGCAGAGGCAACTAGTTTGCATCACATGCAACAAAAAAACATATCCAATGTCATGTTCCCATTCGAAGTCGACATCATCCAATTCTTTAGTGAGTCATTTATGAGAATTTTCTATAAAGTTTTGTAAGGAATTTTTCAGATTTGATCACCTATTCTTCTTCAACTCAGATTCGGCAGTAGATAGTATTGTTGTATGTTACATGTATGTGTATCCATTATACATGTCAGCTTTTCTTAAACTTTTACTCCACGTAATCAAAGAAAGGAAGATGATGAGAGTAAAATTAAACTGATTTTGCTAATACTGTAAGCCATTAAAATTTTAAACTTTAAAAGAAATAAGGAATCATGGTAATTAATAAAATTCTAATGATGGAGATTTTCTCACGCTACGGGTAATTAAGGAAGATGATGAGAGTAAAGTGAATAACCGCAAAGTAACAGAGGTATAATGATAAATTCATTCGCGTGCGATTACATATAATTCCATAACATTATATTTTTGCTTATATCATGGAATAAAGATCATCCTTTTGTTCCTTAATATACGGGAAAACTTTTGATCACACTTATATGTAATCAAGAGAAGCAAAAATTTAAAATTGAAAGGATTTTTGAAATTCGCCCGTACGAGGGGGTATTTGCTCGTGTGGGCTAATACTTAAAAGAAAAAGTATGGAAAATACATATGCAATCCATTATTGGTACAAATGTTTACTAGATGCTATTAAAAATAGGAACTGGAACATTTTCGGTTGATAAATTGTTAAAGTGACCAAAATTAATATACAGTTAAATGTATCACTATAACTTTAAGTTCAAATGACATTGTCTGAATTGTGGTTATAGAAACAAAACTTCTCAAATCAAAGCAAAATTCAATTTTCTTTTGAAATTATAAAGAAAAAAAAATCCAGTAAAGTGTCTTAAATGCTATTGTATGTTTATACAGAGACATACGGAATTTCGTGTTAGTTGAATCACAAATATACAAGGCGTTAACGAGTATTAACAATTCGTGCTATCGCTGTCACAAAAAAAAAAAAAAACAATTCGTGCTATTATCCGAGAAAAAGTTTTAGTAAATGCCGTTAAAAAAAAACTTTTAGAAAAGTAACTATAATGGGTACTTATAGGCCCATTTAAATGGGCTTGAATTTGATGATTAAAAAAGCATTGCAATTATGTTTTTCTTATGTCAAAGCAGAGCAATTATGTCTTAATTTCCACCGTTAATATTTTTCGTAATAATCGTAGTTTGACGACTAGTGGCCGGAATTGCGGAACCTACGAAAGAAAGAAAATTAAAGTCTTAAAAGTATAGTGAATTCGAAATTTTCTAGCAGATAAATTATAAACAATCTTTATTGAGTATACAATGAAATATTTTGGTTAAATAAGTGGAACTATCCTAGTTAATGGATCTATAACCGATATGTTTGTCTATCGTAGATTCGAGTTTTAAGAGTGTTCAAATCTCAACAGTCAACACCAATGAAACCTATATAGTAATATAGATTATAGACTATTAAAATATCTCTAACATCGCTTTGTTTTGTTTTTCGGCAATCCCTTCATTCAACAACATCAAGAAACATTAAGATACACTGTTCCAAGAGATTATACACTGTTACCTTGAGATTTCATGAAGCTGAAAAAAGTAGTTTCCTTCGACCTAGCTTAGTTAAACATTAGAAAGTAGCATTTAACCTACAAACTTTATTGATTAAGTAATTGGACTATCCTTTGACAAAAAGAAAAAGCATTTTGGCAAATGGTTGGCTTATCAGACTCTACAAGTGGCACTAACCATATGAAATAACATAATTTAATAATAATAAACGAATTGAAAGACAAGAAACAAATACTGAGAATATAATAAAAAGGACAGAGGAACTTGTTCCCACTTTCTATCTTCTTAAACCTTAACTTTGGGGGTTGGGGACCCAAAAACCTTCTTAATTGACCATCCATTTTGATATTATAAATCATTATTTCTCTGAACCATTCTTTGTTTCAAACTTTCAATGCATTATATTAACATTTTTTTATCCAGTAAACCAAAGTGTGATATAATATAACGCATGCATAGGACAATACGTTTGTTGTAAATAATTTACAACAAATTATCTTTTAACATTGGATTTACAACATAGAGAGACAAATTATACCTTGAAGTTGGTGAGAGGGAACGTATATTAGTTATTTTGGTATTTCAATACACTGTTTCAAGCTCCTCGATGGAGGAAAATCAGTATATATTAGCTTCAAATTAAGAGAAGGTTGTGGGTAAAAAATTAAATACATTGTTAACTAACATAAAATAATAAAAATTGTATCATAGTGAAATAAAAAGGTAAACAAATGACTCAAAAATACTATTCTTGCTTTTTCGTTTTAATACTATTTGCTTCCTTATAGTCTGCTTCTCAGGTCCCCCGGTCCACCTGACACTGCATGTATATAAAAGAATAAATTCTAAATCCATGATTTTCTATATATTATATACTCGAAATATTTTGGTATAAAAAGGGATACATATTCCACGCACAAGAAGAAACTTTTATTTATAAAAAATAAAAGAAAATATCCACAAAAGTGATGATTGTTCAGCGATTCAATCAAATAGAATGCAATAAATGAATTTTCAGTTCCCCTTACCTTTATTTAGTTTTGTTTCCCATTATAATTGTTCCAGCCAAAGAGAAAGAGACCTATTCAAAAGGGGTTGCTTTCAAAAGCTCATTTCTCTCTCCCTCTCTTTGTCTCTCAAAATCTGCTGATCTCATCACTACTTACCATCTTTTACTCCATCAAAAGTCCTCAACTAAAACCCACTTCCCCAAAACTGAAACAAAACAACAACATCTCTCTAGTGATCTCTTTCACCGATTCAGATTCGAAACACAGAAGATGGTTCTTACACATTCACATTATTGGAGAGAAAGATTATCAATGAACCCACATGCTCTTCTTCTTCTGATCCTCTGCTTCTTCATCATTCACCACTGCGACGCGTCGAGAGTCTCTTCACCGTCAAGCGTTTTCTACAGAAACCCCAATAATGATCACAACAAAAACACTATGAGGAGAGGCCATTTCTTAGGGTTCTTGCCAAGACACTTCCCTGTTCCAGCTTCAGGTCCTTCACGAAAACACAACGACATTGGTATACAAGCCTTGCTGTCTCCATGATCACTATCTCTCTCACTCTCTAGATTACATTATATATTATATATAATATGTGTACTGCATGCACAGTCATACACAAAACAAGGGTACAAGGCCATTCATCGATCTTTGATGTTTGTTTTGACATGTAATTAGTGTTTCAGATGTTTGACCCCTTTTAATTGTTCCTCGATCTTTTGGTTATTTTTTTGGTTTGCATGTAACTTCTTTAGAGTAGAAGTGAAAGATATTGTGATTAGGTCTGGGTTTTGCTATTCTTACTCTTTTCTTTTGTATATGTAATTAAAGTTTACGAGAGGAGATATTAGATGCAACAATCTCTCGTTACTTCAATGCATACGTAATTTAACATCTTTAATTAGCCACTTCACCTAATTAATCACTTTATTGAATTCTAAGAATATCGAAGGTGTTGATAATTGCATTTGGTAAAGTTTGATTGGTGAAAAATGGAAAAATTATCCTCTTTTTAAAAAGAAAGACCAACAACTTCATTTTCCGTCAAGAGAACACCGTGGGTCATCTTTTACTCGTTCAACCAATGAGATATTAAAAGAAGAAAAATATGTCTTCTAAATCTTTTATATTCCTGGATAAAGAATATACTATATTATAATAAGATAGCGAAACAATAGGCATTGCATGAAGCTATTTTTAAAATTGTAGAAAGAGTGAAATGAGATAGTGACGATAGTCCAAAAGATCACGCAAGGTTAGGTTGTTAACGTAAAATCGTAAAAATAATAATAGTAGCCTTCGTCATGTACAGAGTGTCCCAATAACCCATTCCGCCACGCCCGGATTGATTTGACACTCGTTTACATTTTCTTTATTAATCTATAAAAAAACAATTTTGATTTTATTTTGATTTTTTCTTGATTCATACCAAAATTAAATTAAAAATCCATAACAAAAATTATGGTGGACAAAACAACAATGAACAAACTCATTTGCTTGTCAAGCAGAAATCTTACATTAAAATTTATATTGGCATAAGAAATCTCGAGATTTAACGAAAGGTTATGTACGTACATATAACCAACTAATTGTTTGATAACGATTACATATAAAATGCATGCATGTATAATACATTTCTTCACTTTAAGTTGTTTATGGTTTAATGGTAAACATGATTAAGTAGATTTTATAGAATTCAAAAAGATCGACTCACAATAGACACGAAGCCGAAAGATGTGCCGTTTTAACAAAAAGTTAAGCTTAATTTTTCCGCCGAAGGTTCTAAATGCAGACAAATGTTCAAAAGCTTACTTTTTTCATCTCTACAAAGAATAAGCTCACAAAAAACTATATAAGTTAAACTTTTACGATTTCTTTTGCTTAGTTTACTATCTTCTTATCTTCCATCAAGTTACATTTACATATATCAATATTCAAATATAACTCCAACAGTTATGTACAATGATGACTCCTGGAAGAGTAAATGGCGAACACGGCATGATTCGTAGGATATGATGGTGATAATGGTATTACACGTTAAATCGTAAAAAATGATAACATTAATATCCGATAATTCCGCAATCGATTCTAAAATTACAAATACACGTATGTAATGTTCCTTCTCAATTAAAATTAAAAAAAAAAAATGTTCCTTCTGAATTGTTCATTATTATTACATCGGTTTACTAAGAAATTTTCACCAATTTCTTTAAGCTTTAGGCCATCTCCAACCCTACTGCAAATTTTATTGTAAAATAGAGTTTGGAGCAAATTTCTCTCCAACCTTACTCTAAATTTTACTTTAAAATGGAGTAAAAAATAGAGTTACTCTATATATAGCAAAAAATAGAATTTCTCCATTTTTTTTATCATAAAAAATGAAGTTTACATTGAAGTAAAATATAACTTCATTTTAGAGTTACTCCAAAATAGAGAAAAATATAGAGTCATACATTGGAGATGCTCTTACTATTTTAATCAAATTATACAAATTTAACTAACGTTCTACTTTCTCAAAAATTCTACACTTTTATAAGTGGGTGATCAATCTTGATTAACCTACTTATCCAGTCGAAAATAAATATTTAATTATACATCAAGTTGATCAAAAGTTTACATATCTATTTTTAAATCAAAAATATATTTTTTCAAGAAGCCAAATCCAAACTAAAAAAATTAAAAAACTTATACCAAACTGATAGATCTTACAATGCTTTTAATTTGGATACAAAACTAAAAATCAAAATCAAAACCAAAGTGAAGATCACTATTTTAATGAGCAGAAAGCAATATTCAACTTCAGTATTTACAGACATCACAAAGACTTATGTACAAGATTCTGAAACGGTCTAATACAGTAATACTCAATAGTTATATCTTGAAGTACGACAAAATTTTAAAAGAAGGTGATAATTTAAATCTGACTCAAGCATTCTACCTGAAGATTCATATTGGCAAAATACAGTTTCAGACAAGGAAGATCTTCAATCCTTTCTGCAGCATGATTTGACTCCACAACATATCTTTCCTTCTACATAATAATGGACAATCTCATCTTTCACATGCCTTTGGGCTATGCCAGTTCGAGATCCTGATGATGACCATGCCATGTATAATGTTTCCAAGACTTCAACTGAGAACCCATTGTTGCTTAGGTCCAGAATCTGCAATTGGTTAGCCATTGCAAGCGCGGTCGAAAGCTCTTCGATAATATGGTTCTTGCGTGGTAAACTAAGACTACTCGAGGCTGCAGTTTGTTCCTCTATTTGATCATCTTCGCTGTCTGCAACTTCCAGATTATCACACTCCATACTGGTTTCACATAACTCTTGTTCTTTCTCTGGGTTCTGACAATGGTTTTTGCTCTCAACTCTATGAGTTTTGTCCATTGCGGTGATAGATTCACACGTACCATGTTCTTGCTGTCCCATTTCTGAGCTTTCCTTCACAAGTTCGCCAAACACAGTCTCATCCAGTTTAGCATTCTCAGAAATATTAAGCTCTTCGAGATTCTTATTTTCTGCAAAAACGTTTAGTTGATAGTTTAAAAGGAGAAGATGGTTTAGTAGCAGCTACAACAAGAGACTTATGGAATATAATAATAGTTCAGACCTGAAAGCGCTTGAATTACGCATAGAATTCCAGAGAGCTTCAGATGACACTTGCTTACAGTCAGAACTTTTATTTTTGAACAAGGATTCGTAAGCAGCACCCCCAGTGCACTGATTCCCTGTTTGTATATTGTGTTTCAGAGGACCAGTAATGTAAGTGGACAGGATTTTACATTGGTCCAAAGATTGTTTTTGAGCTTTGAAATGGTAGCAGAATCACGAAATTAATTGAGTGCACAATTCTTTGACTTTTTCTCTTCCATTTCAGTCTCAACAGAGATTAGAGATAAGAGCTTTAGGATGTTCAGGTCATAGAAAATATACCTCTTCAGTGATTGGATTCCCTCCAACGTTAAGCTCAAGAATGCTAGAAGTTAGAGTAATATCTTGGATGAGCCTAAGAAAAAAAGGAGACGCTAGTCCACAACATGAAAGGTCTAGCCTCACAGTTTCTTCCTTTTGATAACATAGAGATTCAGTGATTTTGATAGCTCCATCCTAGAATTTGGAGAACATCGTCAGATGAAAAAGGATGCATTTATCAAAATATAAGAATTCATTTTAAAAGTTTACCATATCATTACCGTTCCTATTCCGGAGCTGCCAACCAAAAGTTTTGACAAAGATGGAGTCTTAACAAGTACAGAAAGGCTATCAACAACTTGGCTGCTCAGCTTAATGCCATTCATGCTCAGTTCTGCAAAGCTGCAGTGGTTTAACATATGATAGCGTTAGATTGATTTACAATAGTGGAAAAGTTAACAAAAATACAGCTTTATGTTTTTCTTTCAACCTGCTTAGAGTAGCTAGTTTAGCCAAAAGGTTTTGAATAGCACTCCCTGAAACAGGATTATTATAACCTGCCATATACAAGTACGGATATACCATCCTCAGCAAAATAAAACGAGATTAAAAAAAAATGAATGTAGATAACAAATTTGAAAGTTTACCTATATAGAGTTGTGAAAGTCCCGACTCTGGATACAAGGCATCAGCAATCTTTTGGATTGTTCTCGATGTGAGTGAACAATGTTCAACATTCAAGCTGTAGAGTGCTAAAAAAAAAGGGGACACTTAAGCATAAGCGCGTGAACCGAAGATAAGAGTTAAGAATATTAGACTAAAAATACGTATCTCATATATCTACCGGGTTTATTGATCACCAGTGAAACCAAGAAACAAAAAATAATAACAGAACAATTAGATACCATAGATGACAGTTTCTTAAAAGGAAACTATACCCCGACAATTTTTCAAGATGGTTGAGAGGTATGATCCACAAGCATCAGTAAGTCGATTCCTGGACACATTGAGAACTTCCAACCGAGTGAACAGAACAGGGCATTCACAGATCTGGTAAATGGGAGTATATTAAACGAGGAGAATAACACGAATTTGTCAAGCTTTGAGCCTAGTGGGGTACCTGAAACAAAGCAGTTGGACCAAATCGATTGCAGTGCAAATCCAAAGTTAAAGCACCATATATCTGGCTTGATGAGGCAAAAAGTTGTTTCAGTTTCTCCATTGTTCCATTCCCTAACAACCAATAAGAATATGGACGATTAAGTATTTAGTAAGTTCCTTATCATATAATCAGCTACCGTCATCTCGCTATACGACAAAATTTAATACTGCACGTGGAATGATGCCAAGTAAGATGTTAGAGGAATCTCTCACCTAGCATATTGTGGGAGAGATCCAACATAGCAACTGTATTGTGGACATGGAGGGCACACAGTAAAGGAGCAGCTGATATATCTTGCAATTTACATTCTGACACATTGATATCATCCTCTACCTGATAAACATACAAATAAACAACCATTCAGACTACACACCAAATAATAATAATTTGTAGCTAGCTTGATTTTAAGTAAGGTGAAAAGCAAACAAAGAGAAGAAACTATTTCATCCACTAAAAGGCAAACTAGAAGTAATGTACTCACCTCCGAAATATATAATTTCTTAAGCAATTTTATACTAGGTTTTTCGGACAACTTCTGGCAACAGTCCATGTATAGTTTCATCACGCGCTTGTGAACCCAGCCTGCAACAAATCAATTACATGGCTTATTCAGCCGTATTATATAAATAAGGGATGGATGATGGATCAATGAGTTTACTAAAAACCAATACGACGGTTCAGCCAAACTCATGTAAAAAAAGTGAAAAACAAGTTGAGATCAAAAACAATTTTATAATAAGATCAGTTAGAGAATCATTAATTTAAATATTAGGACGGTCCAGTTTGTATATAAAAAGAATACTTACCATTCACGGAAGCTTCAATAACAACATTTTCAGAAGAGCCTGTGAGAATCTCATATAAATCCAATGGTTTCAGAACTTTACCACCATATTCCAAATGATGAATGATCGGCAACAGGCCTGATGATATCAAAATTGTATGTTCAAAGATTCATATAAACATTTCGAGTTCAGAATTTTAATACAATAGCATACTTTTTAACAAGGGGAATAATATTAAATAGCACAACAGAATTTGTTAAGCACGAGGCTGAGATTTTATAGAGAGATGGACCAGAACTGGGATCATGCACTCATGCTAAACGTTTGCTGAGAAACCAAAATGGTCACATACCTTTAGATTTCTCATTGTCAGGAAGCTGCAAATAGTATAAGCAAGTAAGTTCCACCTTCACAGACTCATCATTGCCAGAACACGAGTCTAAAGCCATATGTTCATTCTCAATTTTGATTTTTATATTTTGCTGCAACCAGTAAAACATATAGCTATCATGGAAAAGAATGGTGGACAAAAAAAAGCAAATGAACTTCAATCAATCAAGAATAGTCAATGATAACTCAAAAACAAGGTCAAGGATGCTCACATCCTCAGTCTTGGAATAAGCATGGTTCACGAGAGCAGCTCCATTTTTGCATTGCGTGCTGTTGGATTCGCCAGCTTCACATTGAGATCCTTTTATACCACAACCAGCGGATTCAACAGCTCTAGTATTGATCAAAGGTCTACAATTGTTGACATTTGGAGCACCTTTAGTGGGACGAAGAGACGTATACGAGCAAGAGCCTTCTTCTACATGATCTTGAATAGCAGGATTATCCGTACAATTAACAGCACCATCATAATACATACTTTCATCAGAAAATTCTTCACTCTGGCTTGTAATTTTGTGAAAACTGCCTTTAGGGCATCCCAACTCATATTCGGTTTCACTTTCATCGTCAGAGAGGATTACACGAATACGCTTCCGACCAGCAACTGTCTGAGGATCTGTTAGTGCGACGAAATCTTTCTTGGCCTGATCAGTCTCAACATCTTGTTTTCCTGAAAACTGTTTCCTTTTGGAAAGACGTTTTCCAGGCTGGAGAAGTGAAATTAGTGGCACGTCATCATTTGCTTCATCCAGATCTGCTAACGGTTCTGGTCTAAGTGAATTTGATGTTCGGAGATATGGCAAACTACATGCATTTGGCCTATCATTTGATATATCCCCATGCTCTTCTGAGTCAGTTTCAGAGCATTCATCTTCTGTACCAAATTGGGCTCCCTCACCATGTTCTGACTCCTTCAAATTTTGTATATTTTCCTTCAACTCCCTACACAGTAGAATTTATCTATGAGAAACTGAAATTTTGAAACTGCAAACCTAGTTGCAGCCCTGCAAAACTTTGCACCAGGTTTAATTTTGTATCTATCGTCAGACCAGCGACTACATAGTAATGATTACCTGGCTTGTTTAGCATTCCCAAATCTGATCATATGGCTATAATGCATATCTTCCAGTGCAGTAAGCTGAATTGAAGGAAGATTGGCTCTCAAAGCAATTCTGCAGGATCACATGATAATACATCCAAAACGACCTTCAGTTTAATTGACTAGCATGTGATATGTAGTTTTGTGTGCGTGCATTCACGTCTGTATATGTATATCGCGGAAATTTTTTTAAGTGATTGGAAATGCAAAATCTGCTATAATTATCTACAGTGATCATGAAAACTACTGAATCATTATACATGAAATACTTATTCATAAGCCATAGTGCAATAATTCTTGAACTTAGTTTATATCAGATTTACGTTTGCTCTGCTTAAGCCTTCATTCAAATTTCTAACAATGAAGAGGATCTTCAGCGCAGAGTGGGATTACCCAATAGAATTGTCAATATTCTCAAGGAAGATTAATAAGTAGATCCATTTACTTGGATTAAATCACAAACAAAAAAATACTCCAGTATCTCAAATGCACAATTTGATAATTGGACCTACCTGTACCCATTTTCATATTCTTTGAGTGCTCTTGTCCATTCGCCAATGCAGTCCAAACCATCACCTATATTAATTTTCGCTAGTGCTTGACCCTACAAGAGACCACCATAAGTGAAAGTTAGAATCAATAAAGAAGAAAAAGCTATAATATTGACAAATCCAAAATAGTAAATCACTGTTCTTATTACATAGAACATGCGGAAGTAGAGACCTCGTCATATTTTACTGGTGTTGTGAATTAAATTCTGATGACAACAATGAAATATAAGTTGTAATAATTAAGCGTGCAAGCAAACAAATCTCACCTCTAGATTACCAATTGCTTTGTAGTTCTCATAACTTCTATCGTACCACTTCAGGGACTTTCTGAAATCTCTGAGCTTTTGGTAAGACTCTCCAACAACCAAGAAGGCATCACTCAGCTTTTCCTTGTCACAGAGTTCAACTGCTATTTTCTTCTTCCTTTTTGAAAATTCAAGATGCTAAGACATTCAAAGAAGAAAACTGAAACCCTTTTAGTTGCATGAAAAAATTAAATGGCCGTTTCCTACTTAATATTCAGAATATATTACGAGTCAAGGGAACTGTGGCTCAGAGATCAATATCCGTTTGATACAGAATAAATATAGTTTTGCCACTTTGGTCTAGTGTTAAATAAAATGTTAATTCAGCACTAACTTTTCAAACGATATGTTTTCTTGAGAGGACAAAAATCAAGCAGCTCTTGAATAATTAACCTTCCTGACTGATTTGATAAGACAGTGTCATCAACAGAACTTCACAAAACCTGAATCTATACAAGAAAATAACATAGCTGTCCTACTCCATTCTCATAGTACCCTGATGAAATCTGAAAATCTAACAATGCTCACATTTGGGAACTTTTCACACACATGTAGACATGGTATGGAGTGTTGGGATCGAAAAAGACAAGGAGTATTTAAGAAATAATACTCACCTTCCCCCATGCAAATACCATGCTGGATTTTTCAATAAGACGTTCAAGACAAGCATGTACTAGGAGCATAGACTTTCGTTCCTCCGAAGTGCCTTTGGCATCAGTCATTTCTGCAGATAACTTCTTAAGCCTAAGCTCTTCTTCCCTCAATTCTTCCATAACTTTAATGGCTTTCTTCACTGTCTTGATATTTTCCTCTATCTGTTCAACCAACGCACTCTCGTCTTGCATAGATTTCGCTAAAGCAGAAGCTTTACCATAACATGAAAGTGCATCGTGGTACTTTTGGGTTCTATTGTGTAATTCAGCGAGATTGATATACCCTTTAGCCTCTCCTTGGCAATGATTGATTTTATGACAGATATTGATGTCCATTTCGATGTGTTCTTTTGCTTCATCCCACTTTCTCAGTTCCAGAAAAACATTTCCAAGGTTATGATGAAGCCTACTACGCATAGCATCATACTCTTTCACCTCCTCTTCATCGCAAATCTCCAGCCCTTTCTTGAGTATTTTGCAGGCTGCATCAGGATTATCAAGATCAAGGTCAAGCATACCAATGTTATTATGTGCATTGATGTACTCCTCAAGAAAGCTGCTAGATTCGCCAGGAGGTGGTTTCTCCTTGAGGACCTGTGCAAGTTCCATGGCTTTCTTAAAGTACTTTTTAGCACTCTGAATGGCATCACAATCATCCTCAGACTTCAAGAATATTTCATGGTAGGTACGACCGAGCTGAGTACAAGCTCGTTGCTTCTCCACAGTGTCATTATTGTCTTCAGCAAGCTCTAAATGCTTCTTCTGCAATAACCAGAAAAGAGAAGGTTATGAGACGAAAACAGAACATCAAATTATCACATCATTTTTCCCCAAATTAAACAGTATTCAATTCCACGATCCCAAACATTCAGAGAAATTCGATGAGGCAAAAAATTTTCGAAACAGCAAAAATTATCATGGCAAATCAGAAGCCGTAAGATACCCTAGTAGAAAAATCAGATTTTTTAAAGGCTTACCTGATAGATCAAGGCTTCTTCGAAATCCTGGAGGCGGAGGTAGATCTCGCCAAGAGACTGACAAGTGGGTAACAAATCTTTCCCAGGCAAGTACTTTACGGAGATATCGTAATCGATTCGAAACCACTTGAGAGCCTCGACGTACTCTCCATCATTCTTAAGGATGTCGCCGACATTGTTGGCCCACCTCGCCTCTTCGCTCCGGTTACCCACTTCCGTCGCCGTCCGGTACGCCCTCTTCGCCGCAGCTACATCTATTCGACCCATCGATGGTTTTCTCGTTCCTTGATTCGTTGATTCTCTCTAATTTCCCCCAACGAAAGGGTTTTGTTTCTCCCTTATTCAGATTTTCTCATTTTCTGCAATTTCGCCAATCCCAAAAATTCCCGCCAAAAAGTTAAGGGTGGATAAGAAATTATCAGGTAGATTACCTTAAACAATGAGTTTTTGAGCCTTGTTGAGTTTAGGCCTTGGGTCGATTTGCGTTTGGGCCTTGGGCCTCTAACCTTGACAAAGAAAGAAACCCTAAGGGTTTACTTCATCTCTCTTATTTAGCTTTTTAACCTATCATTTTGCGCCGACGAACTGCTCTTGCTTTACCAGAAAGGCCTGTTCCTGATAATCCGGCGATCTGTGACCCTTCCCGGCGTCGAAAAATGGTGGCGGCGAAGAAGACAAAGAAGTCCCATGAGGGAATCAACAGCAGATTAGCTCTGGTGATGAAGAGTGGCAAGTACACTCTTGGTTACAAATCTGTTCTCAAATCCCTTCGCAGCTCAAAAGGTACGATAAAAAAAAAAACATTCTTCGTCGATTCGATCTTTTTGTGTTTCGTCTTCGTTGCGCTTTTTCGTCAAAGCTCTCTTGAGTAATTGCTGGGTTTCGATTTGTTGTTTAGGTAAGCTGATACTCATTTCTAGCAATTGCCCACCGTTGAGAAGATCCGAGATTGAGTACTACGCTATGCTCGCAAAAGTTGGAGTGCATCACTACAATGGAAACAATGTGGATTTGGGTACTGCTTGTGGTAAATACTTCCGAGTTTCATGCCTCAGCATCGTTGACCCAGGTGATTCCGACATCATCAAGTCACTTCCTGGAGATCAGTAATTGTCATTTCGATAGATTGTTATGAAATGTTGTCTCTGCTTCATGCAAGATTTTGTTGAAAGACGTAATGTTTGGTTTCTTTGGTTTCTAGACTCCTTATGGTTTATTACACTTTCGTCTCTATTGATAGAATCAATTATATGAAGTAGTTACTTAGTTTTTTTATGCCAACGCACGATTGCTATATTCGTGAAGCTCAAATCAAGTAAATTCACAAAGAAATTTCATCGTGGTTTTCTACAAATGAAAGGGAAAACAAAACATACAACATTCTCAGTGTAACATCATCACTTTTATGTTCTAACATTCGACAAAATAAATCTTAACCACCAAAAGATCCTGTAACGTAACACAGAAAGCAAATATATAGAACGTGTTGGTTGTACTATATTTTGGCTACTCAATCAACTTGCTCTGTCATTTTGGTGACATCTTTTTTTTTTTTTTAATTGCACTTGCTATCTTAATCCTTCTTTCCGGTACTTAGTTTTAGTTTGCGCCAGTTCCTGTCTTAACCTGTCTTCTTCCTCCAAACTTTCTGGCTCGGTTGCCTATTCTGCTTCTAGATTAGCAATGTCACACTGCTTATCTTTCCACGTTTGGACATTGGAAATCCATTGACTACGATTGGCTAACCGTCTCATAAGCCATGAAAAGCAGTCTTGAGTCTCCTCTTGTCTCTTTGGCTAAGCTTCGTGCTGATGACTTCTTGAGTGTTCTCTGATTCAATTGCGAATGAATGAGATGATCGACACTAAAAACTGAATTTGGGCCAGGTTTAGTTTGAGCCCTAGGTCGAGTTAATTTTGGGTCTTGGGCCTCAAATTCTGACAAAGAAAGAAACCCTAAGCCTTCCTCCGTCTCACTATTTAAGCTCTCATTTCTCCGCCGCCCAACAGCTTCTGCTTAGACCCCGAAGGCCTCTCCCTGCTAATCCGGCGAGCTGTGACTCTTCCCGGCGTCGAAAAATGGTTGCGGCAAAGAAGACGAAGAAGTCCCATGAGGGAATCAACAGCAGATTAGCTCTGGTCATGAAGAGTGGCAAGTACACTCTTGGCTACAAATCTGTTCTCAAATCCCTTCGCAGCTCCAAAGGTACCAAAAACAAAAAGCTTTACTCATCGATTGATCTATCGCGTGCTTCGTCTTCGTAATTCCGTTGAATTGAATTAGTGTTGGATTTTCGATTTGTGGTTTAGGAAAGTTGATACTTATCTCTAGCAATTGCCCACCGTTGAGGAGATCAGAGATCGAGTACTACGCTATGCTTGCTAAAGTTGGAGTGCATCACTACAATGGCAACAATGTGGATTTGGGTACTGCTTGTGGTAAATACTTCCGAGTTTCTTGCCTCAGCATCGTTGATCCAGGTGATTCCGACATCATCAAGTCACTTCCTGGAGATCAGTGATTGTCATTTCGACCAGATTGTTATGTTTTTGCCATCCTATCTCTCTGTTTTATGAAACTCTTTAATGTGTTCTTCAAAAATGTTAGGTTGTTTTTGGATTCGAAACTCCTCCTTAATGGTTTAATGAAATTATCGTCTCCATTCGAATGGTTTTGTTCCAGTCTATTGGTTACATTTGTAATGCTCGAAGTAATTATATGTTTCATCAACACAATTATTGTCATCGTAGTTTTCTACAAGTATAGAGTAAAAAAAATGAAGAACATCGCTGACATTTTCTAACATCATCCGTATAATCATTCTACCAAATCAAAATCCTCAACCACAATGAAGAAACAGTAAAACGCATAGAAACTCTTCATCCTAAGCGAAGTGCTTCTTCTTCTTACGAACAAATCAACTCATAAAGCAGAAAAAACAAAGGGCGTCTTTGCCGTGTTTTTTGGCTACTCAGCTTGTTCTACTTTCTTCAGTGACAGCTTTTTCTTTGTCTCCATTATTGCTTCTTCTCTTTTCTTTGCGATCTCTTTCATTTCTTCCTGATACTTAGCTTCTATCTCCTCCAGTTCCTGTCTTAAACTTTCTTCTTCCTCCACACTTGCTGGTTCCGTTGCTTCTTCTGCTTCTTGATTGGAGCTCCCGTCCTCTCCTTTAATGGCATCCACACCCTGCTTATCTTCCTCGTCTGATCGTGGACAATCCGAGGTCCAAGAGTGACTAACCGACTCACAAGCATCATGAAAAGCGGTCTCCTCTTGTTTCTGTGGCTTTGCTTCGTTCTGGTGACTTCTTGAACTCTGATTCAGTTGCGAATGAATGAGATGATCGACTGTGACATCGGTTTTCCAGGTGGGTATCATGTTGACAAGTAATATATCAATCAGTTCAGCTATAAACGTGACGTTCTGGTCAGTTAACTCGAGTTGCTCAACCATCTCACTCGACACCTTGGAAGCAGTGTCACCGTCTTGATAGAACAGGAAATGAATGTTCCTCACACGTCCTACAATAAGAAAACAGTAACATATTAAGTTTCACAATGCGAACATAACGGATATTTTAACTGGAGCTGAACCAAAATGCTCACCATTCTCATCTACTATACGAAGAATTAGCGACACAGAGTGTTCATCGTTTTCTTCACCCTTGAGGACAAAAAAATTCCCTCTCTTTGCACGTCTGACCTCAATACACCTGGATCCAGAGTTGTCGCTAAAAGTAACAATCGGCAGGTTGTTGTCTTCATCGAGATCTATAGACATGGCTCTACTACGCCGTGTTGTAGGAGGGCCTTCAGACATAAGGCAACGTTCTCCAAACGCACCTTCTTTGGGCATTACAATGTCCGGAAGTGGCAAAGGGTTGTTCATTGTTAAACCATTCACATGAAGAAAAGGGTCCAATAGAAGCTCTTTTGCTGACAGCCTCTCGGATGCAGGAAGCAAGCATTTCTCAATAAACTGCTTTACTTCTGGGTCTTGAACCCTAGAGAGTGAAGCAGGTTTTATTCCCTTGAAACCAGCAAGAATCAGATTCAGTTATAATCTTGTCGATAAACTAATAATAAGGATTATATGACTTTGTTGCAAACTCACCGATGAGACCTTCTTGTATATCTGAGCAGAGTTTCTGCATTCACAGTAAGGGTATTCAAATGTCACCATCTCCAACATACACATCCCAAATGAATAAATATCAGCCAGCTCGTTGTAGTTCTCATCGTAAAGCTCGGGTGCCATAAACTCGGGGGTTCCTGTTGGTAACATAGTAACACTTCAATTTCACCCAAAAGAAAACAAATTAAAATGTGACGGAAAGAACATAGCGTGGATTAAAATTCTAGTCCTTCAAAGTTTTGGTGAAAGCGGAAATGTGAATATGTAAGCTACATGAAGAAAGAGGAAATAGAAACCATACCAATCACACTTTTGGCATTAGCTTGCTCCATCACAGTGGCAAGACCAAGATCTCCTATTTTCACTTCTCCATGATTTCCATTGATAAAGATGTTATCACATTTGAGATCCCGATGTATAATCGGTGGCTCTTGACTATGAAGATATCTCAGACCCATTAAAATCTGTCTCGCCCAACACTTCACGGCCTTCATATTCACCTTTCTGTGTTTCTTACGGTAACTAGAGCAGAAAAGATTGCTTAAACTCTACGATGACAAACAAAAATAACAGAAGACAAGTGTTGTGTGGTAGAGAGGAAGGGAGATACATACTGTCTGAGGCTCCCTGAAGTGAATAGCTCGGTAATTATGTTAACTGTCTTGTTCTTATCATCGATCCATGAGTTATAGAACCTAATGATATTACTGTGCTTCAGTGATTTCAAAAGACGCACTTCAGAATACAGCCTCTCCAAGGAATTCGGTGACTGCAAAACATCATCTATTCGAACTTGGTTCCACGCGACTTCAATTCCATCTACTTCATCGAATGCCTTATACCTGATTTCTTCCAGTTAAGGTACAAAACGAGAAAAGATGCAGAACACAAACATACTCATTCTCTTAAGTATCTCTAGGAAGCTTCTGATTACAAAAAATGCTATCATCACAGAAAATAAATATCAAAATGAACCGAAAAGGATACACTGTCTTGAATGCGCCTTTTCCGATAACCTCTTTATACTGAAAGGTACACAATTAATTGGTTAACAACATAAGTTATTTAAATCACCACACAATAGAAATCAAACCACAGCAATTGAAAAGCAAAACAAGCTAAATAGAGGTGAATCTAAATCCATCTTTGCTTGGTTGTATAGTATTAACCAATTGAAAGGTAAACACTTAAAAAATGGGATATTCAAAAAGAATCATTCCAGAGATCTTCCTCATACCCTTATATAGCGATAAGTTGGATCAACTTCGAGCACTTCTGGGTCAGGAGGCTCTTGAAGTACAGAAGCATCCTCTGAGCCATCCATACTTTCCTACACCTTGAAAAGAATCCACCTTTAAGCTTACAAAAGAAACAATCCCAAAAACACAGAATCTTTAAGAAAATCCTTAGATTCTTTTCGAGTAATACACCAAGCAATGAAAGAATATTCAAAGGCAACAAGTTATCCACACAATAATACAACCTTTAATCCAATTACAGCTGGGAATCTTTTTTGAAACTTCTCATCATTTAACTAATCAGCTTAAACAAAAAGAAAGGAACAATAATCAAGTGAAGCTCGCCAAAATTTAGAAAACTGACATCACATTCTTATTAAAAAAAACAAAATCCAATATTCTTCTTCCCCTGATTGCATTCCATCAATATTCACATTCGACATAGCATAAACAATGACCATGAATCATTCCATAATTTGAGAGAGAAAAGGAATTAAAAATGTGAAAAAAACACCCACAATGAGCAAATTGAGAGAGAGAGAGAAACCTAGGTCCCATTCACGTCCATGCATACGAAACAAACGATGAAGATATTTAATCGCACAAAAACGGGGTAGAAAGTAAATAAATTGTGAGCTTCGATTTTACCTGGATAAATAAAGCTTTTGTTCTGTTCCGGTAAAATCGCCAACGTGAGACGAAACCGGAGAAGGAGAACAACAATGAGAAGAAAGATCCGAACCCTAATTGAGAAATCGATGGATGAAGATGCAGCGACAAGGGGAAATAGAACAAGTGTTTGTTCACGACCACCTCCGTTTTTCCTCTATTTTAATTCATTACTTATTTACCCTAAAATTAAAAAAACAAATTCAAGTCCTTCTAAAAACAGAGAAACGCCTTGTTCATGCAAAAATGACGTGTTCAATACACGTGGCATTTAACTCGGGTTTATCAGCCAATTGCTGACGTTGAAATATCCCGTAGGAAAATATCCAAATACTAAATATGATTATTACATAATTAAACTTGTTTCATCGTCTGAGCAAAACAAAACTAAAAAACCACTTCTTGGTAAACAAAACACACCAAAATCAATAACCATTAAGAGAAAGATGAAGGAGGCTCCCATGAAAGATCTGTTCTTAGTAACATATCAAAGTAAAACGATTTCTTCAGCTGTTTTCTTCTCCTCATCGAGATAACCCTAAAATATCGTCTTCTTCGTCCGTTGAGGATTCATCAAACATTCTCCTATTAGTAACTCGGTTAGACTCGTCCTGATGATCTTCCAATTCCGATAATCCAATCTTGATGTCGCGGTGTTTAACTAGGAGCCAGCGCAGCAGCTTGTCTTCCTTGTTGAGGTAGTGAAGCTCCTTGTTCATGTTTGGAGTTGCCATCATTGTTATTTGCATCAATTGTCCCTGCACCATTCATAGAGATAATTATGCTATCATATACATTCAAACCCTCCAAGGTAGAAAATGGGACTAAAAAGAAAAAGATGCGTATTCAGTCTTCACTGTATGAAGATTCTATTTCAGAGACATAAGAGATTGGTGTTTAAAGCTTGTGCTGATATTCTCAAACATATGCTAATCCTAGCCAACAATTCCCAGGCGTCTAATAAACGGAAACTGTTTAAAACATCTGTGCGAGAAAATATATATAAAAACGATTGTTTGAACCAGATTATCCTTCAACAGGTAAGGTGATGATGCATCAAACTCCACACTGAAGATCCAAAACACAATCAAACTCTTTATAAAACTGTGAAGATAGGAACTTTTCTAGGATCCTAGCTGTTCTGTTATCCCTATCTAAACTAAAGTAAAAATTCAACTAGGTGAATCAAGAATGGTATTCGACGACATTGCTTAAAGAATTCAACTGAAAAGCTACACTGAGTATACTTTCTGGGCAAAACAAGTATCATTTCGGAGGGAACCTTAAGAAATGACAACATTTTATCCCAACCTATACACACAGGATCGTATGATTCCTTCCCCAAATCTACTACTTTTATCATAGAAATTGATCACAAAGATGCAAAAGCAAAGCTTTTTAATGTATGAAAGGCCAAACTAAACCCTAATGCTACTACCATTGAATCGGCCAGATTCTGATCCAACAAACTCTATCGACTCATTAAATCATCGATTCAGCAAGTATCTGAAGCAATTCAACACTCCTTTATTTACCTGATAGTGTCTTCCGTCGAGCTTCCTAATACCGTAACCCAATTCGACCTTGCCAAAGGATTTGATATCGGTGAGGACGCCATTTCTGCTGTAAACGTGTTTCCCGATGCGGGAAACGAGATCGATGACGCCTTCCTTCCGGATAATTGGCTTGAACAGAAGCATACAGTCGTAGAGCGGCATTTTGATCTTCCTCTTCCTTCCAACGAGGGAGACGAATTAGATTTCCACTGTCTGTCCGGTTTACTTTTAGGGTTTTAGTCTTCCCAGATTTCGCCGATGGGTGACGAAGTTTTTTTTTCTCAATACGACAACGTGTTGTTAACCTTTTTTTTGGACGACTCTCTGGCAAAAAATATAGTTTACTTTCCGTAGAAAACATTTAAAAGATAGATATTCTCATATTAATACATGTATGTGATAAATTTACATAGGATTTTTTGGGGGGGGGGGGGTATTTTACATTTTTTTTTTTGTGGTGTAAGTTTATTTACATAAGGTACCGACCAATATCATCCAAACTTCAGGGGCTTTATAATAGATACATCAAAACCAAACCCAAACCCAAACCCAAAGAAAAACATCGAGAGTAACCAAAACCAAACCGAAAACCCAAAGAAAGGGTCAAGACTCTGAAACAGCAAAGGCTGAAGTAGCAACCGAGGAAGGGGCCATTGTGGATTGGCTAAGCAACACATTCTTCATTTCCTTGTAAGACCTTAACTCTTCCAAGGCATCAGCTGTTGTCTTTGAGGCCAGAGCAAGCCCTGAGGCTGTGATAGACGCTGCTGCTATCTCGTGAGCCTGTGCGGGTTTGTTGTTGTTGTTGTTCCAACAAATTTCAGGTATGGAACGTTCTGAGACATCTTGTCTGAGAGGTGGAGCTTTCTTCAGCATACTCACAAGGGCACCAACTGCAGCATCTTGTGACTTCTTTGGCAAGTACCCGCTTGACTCGAGTGGTTCATGTATATCTCCTCTCTGGTCGAAGGAGCCTGGTCTGATATAAGGCAATAAAAAAAACATATAAGCAGTTCCAAAATAACAGTCAAGAACAGGATCAGAAATCCAGCCCAAAGAAGGTAAAGATTAACTAGATATATGAGACATGATATTACTGACAATGAAGAGTAACGATTCCTTTGGTTTCTCTACTAAAGATTGAAACAATTAAACAGTTCTCTCTATCTTCTCTGTAGCAGAACAGTACAAGAATACGCCAAAATTGATGGAAGCACGGATAAAGGAGTATGACAGTAATCATTTGGGTCTAATTGCTGCTTTCTTCAAAAACTCAAAGTGAGAAAGTAAAATGAACAAGCTTCCACATTGATAAATATAAATGGGCCAGCTCTAACAAATTACTTCTTTGGAAGCTCCAATGACAATAAGGGCCAAAAGCAATAGAAAGACTGTATCTTTTGGTTGTCGAAAAAGTGGAGATGACAAAATGAGATTTCTATCTTGTTAAGACCATACCTGCTACTAGGATCGCTAATATCATCATACTCAACATCAAATGGGCAAGGGAAATCATTATCATCAAAATCATCTTGGTAAGATCTACTGGAACTCCGAGAAAATGATATACGCGGTGAGCTGTTGGAAGATAACCTCACCCCAGAATTTCTCTTAAAGTCTTCTCTGCCATAAAGAAACAGCTAGAGCCACCCACCAAAAAAAATATATATAGGATTTTACTCATTCACTCCCATGATGAAGAAAATAGATAAAGATAAGACATGTAGAGTTAGTTTACCTTCTCCAATGCTGCTCCAGGTTCAACAGGACCAGAGTTTCTCACAAGCTTCAAAGAAGCGTGTCTCGACAATTTTAAATGAGGAGACGGTGCCACCACATTTTGTTTGCACTGGAACGCAGGAGCTGGGATTCTGACAGGAGCACTCTCAGTACGTGTGATGCCTCTTGGGACAGCATGTATAGGTGCTGAAGGAGAACAAGGAGGGGAGAAATCTTGAGAAGGAGAATACTCTTCTATGCAGCTTTCCTTCCTACGACCAGTGGGTATATCAGAAGGATGAGGAGGAAGGCGACGAGAACAAGGATGTGAAACCAATGCGTGTGAATCCGAGTGTGTAGGGGACGGTGAGCAAGAAACTGAAGGTGGAGAGGCTTTGAAGCGATCAAAACTCCAACTATGGCGCCTTTGAAATGGCATCAACGGGGGTGAACCATATGAAAGAGGAAGAGAAGGGAACCTCTTTAACGGATCAGCCAAAGGACTTCCGACATAATCGGTTATAAATGTTGGAGACATAGGAGTTGAATGTTCGCAGCTGACATCTGAGAGAGACCGATATAACACCGACAAGCAAAGTCTACCACAGATAGTATCAACCGGTGTAAAAGCAAACTTCTGCATCTCTGACTCTTCTCTACGAGTGAATGGCTCAACAATAGTAGGGACCCTAGGAACAAGCTTGAACTTGAAGATCTGCCCAGAGGAATTAAGTTCCCGGAAAATCTTATAAGCAGGTAAAAGCCTAACCATCACAAACAAAGATCTCAGCAGCAGAGTTGCTTTCTTATACATCACTTGCAGCTTATTACTGCTTGACCTCCTACCACTAGTAGTAGCAGATTCCCTAATCTTCCTATTATCATATTGCACCACCCATCTCTCAATTATCTGCTCGTTCCTGGTTTCACACCCCAATTCATCTTGATCAGAATTCCACCCGGACTGATACTCTTTCCCGGAAAAGTTCCTGATTAGCTCCCTTTTACCTGATAAGTTCATCTGATCACTAGCAAGTGGCCTGGCCACAAGAACCACATCAACAACCAAAGGCTCGAGACTGCTCCGGCGCCCGATATCGAAACTCTCCAAGGCTGCAGGACATTCCCTGAGAGCTAAATTGAACCATTTGTCTCGAGGCCTCACGCTTGAGGAAGAGGAAGAAGATGAGGAAGGGGAACAAATCATCTGCTCGCCACTAAAATTCCTCGAAGACATAAAAGGAGTCCTTGATTCGAGAATTATGTGGAGGCTTTTGGCAAAGAACTCGAATATGATCTGTTCTGCTTTAGCACCTTCCGAATTGCTACTCTTGTTCATCTTTTACTTTACAATCAATTGAGAACACTGTTCCTGGGAACATAAAAATTGAAAATTTAAGTAACTCCCACTCACTATCATACTAACAAAGCTTCATTCAAAATCGGTAACGCTACTGATTCCGCATATGATCGATCAATCGAACAAAATCTCTGGTAAAAAACCCAGAATTTAAGGATTAACCCAGAATCTATGAAGTTCTCGATGATCAAATCCGACTCAGAAACAAGCATCAGAGAGTATGATCCTAAATCCAGAACAGAGTATACAAACTCACGAACTTATGAAAAAATAACCCAGTAAGCATCATTACCTTATCGAGTCAGTAATCACCACCGTTCACTCGCTTGTGTCTCTCCTTTAAACCCTATATTCGCCTTCTTCTTCGAACTCGTTTCTTTTCACTAGTTTTTTTTTGGTTTTTGGTATATTTTTCACGATTTTATCGGCAAATTTGAAAAAGAAAACCCTAACGAAGGAAAAAAAAAAAGGACAAAACTTTCGATTACAAAAAAAAAAAAAATCAGAGAGTTCGTTGGTAATCCGCATCTAAATCCATGGAAAGAGAACTGAATCGAACCAACCATGGGAACATGTCTCAAAACAAAGCGAGGTTTTTTGTCATTTTTAAGTTCAAATACTTGCTCATTCTATGCTTGCTTTGTTTATTCAGAGACGATGATATCTTCTTTTTCATGACTCGTTCGATCCACACTTATACTTTCAATTTTATATTTCTTTTTCAATTTTATATATATTTTTTACTTTCCCAGTGGGTCCACAGCTAAGTCATTATCGTAGGTAAGGGCAGTTAGGAATGTGAAAAGAAGATTTACTCGTTCGTTTAATCGTTTCTCAAATCAAAAAAAAAATGTTAAATATATAATTTTTCGGCTTTTAGCACAAATATTTTAAATTATTAACTAAACCGAGACACTCATCCTATCCGACATGTGAGATGAAACATGACTGACAAAGATGTTGAATCCTCACTTCCCGACGTCTGAAGCCGCCGTCGACGGGGAGGACACCGTTTGCCAGCGGCTGAGCTTCCATTAAAGTCGATTATCCTTTTGCCTTTGTTTGGGTAATAAATGTGATAAATAAATGTCCCGACAGGGTTGTAAACTTCAAATATTGGGTTCGTTTAGCTTTAGTAATGTGGTCTGCTCGGTTTGATAGTAAAGGCCCACATCATAAAGGCCCATTAGGATAACCGGTTTCTTTTACATTATTTGCATTTTTTTTGGGATAAAATACATTATTTGCATATCATATCATCATCATATATATTATAAGTAAAGTAAAATTTTGAGTTAGAACTCTTTAATTCAATTTTAAAGTGGCTAATTACCTTTTACTCCTTCTTATGTTTTTAAAAATAAAATTTAATAAAAAATTATTAAAATCATAAATTAATTAAAAAATTATTTAAAATCGTAAATTAAATTGAAATATTAAAAATCGTCTATTAATAAAAAATTTATTAAAAATCGAAATTTAATAAAAAAACATTTAAATTTAATAAAAATTATTAAAATCGAAATTTAATCAAAACATATTTCAAATAGAAAATAACGAAAATTTAAAAATTAGAAGTTAATCAAAAAAACATTTAAAATCATATCATATATCATATCATCATATATATTATAAGCAAAGTAAAATTTTAAGTTAAAGTTCTCTCATTCAATCCCAGGGTGGCTAATTACCATTTATCCCTCTTTATATTTTTTAAAATTAAATTTAATAAAAAAATATTAAAAATCGTAAATTAATTAAAAAATTATTAAAAATCGTAAATTAAATAAAAATATTAAAATCGTAAATTAATAAAAAAAATTGTTGAAAATCGAAATTTAATAAAAAAACATTTAAATCATATATATTATAAGCAAAATAAAATTTTGAGTTAAAGCTCTCTGATTCAATCTTAGGGTGGCTAATTACCTTTTGCCATTCCTTATGTTTTTAAAAATTAAATTTAATAAAAAAAATATTAAAAATCGTAAATTAATTAAAAAAATATTTAAAATCGTCAATTAAATTCAAATATTAAAAATCGTATATTAATAAAAAATTGTTAAAAATCGAAATTTTATAAAAAAACATTTAAATTTAATAGAAATTATTAAAAATCGAAATTTAATCAAAACATATTTCAAATAGAAAATAATGAAAAATTTAAAAATTGGAAGTTAATCAAAAAAAATTTAAAATCATATCATATATCATATATATTATAAGCAAAGTAAAATTTTGAGTTAAAACTCTCTCATTCAATCCCAGGGTGGCTAATTACCATTTATCTCTCTTTATATTTTTTAAAATTAAATTTAATAAAAAAATTATTAAAAATCGTAAATTAATTAAAAAATTATGAAAATCGTAAATTAAATAAAAATATTAAAAATCGTAAAATAATAAAAAAATTGTTGAAAATCGAAATTTAATAAAAAAACATTTAAATTTAATAAAAATTATTAAAAATCGAAATTTAATCAAAAAATATTTCAAATAGAAAATAAAGAAAACTTAAAAATTGGAATTTAATAAAAAAACATTTAAAATCATATCATATATAATATATGCGAAGTAAATTTTTCGCTATAAGGTTTCTCATTCAATCTAGGTAATTAATTCCCCTTTATTCGTTAATAAAATTTTTAATATCCTTATTTAATTAATTTATTTTCGTAGTTTGTATAAAAATTTTGCTGCCACTTTTAGTTATTTTGATTATATTAAGATAATTTCAATCGGATTATCTGTTGAGCGAGATTATATGGAAAAAATGTACATGTGATATGGGAAATCCTAGCTTAAGTTGAGAGCTATATATAAATATATTACTTTATAAAATGTATCTTAAGCTCAATTGTGGTTTGGTTTCTACATTGGTCGGTATTTCGTTGTTTTGTTTACCGTCTTTATTTTTTATAAATCAATTTTCGATTTTTTCTATTGTTTTTTCCGTTTTTCAGTACTAGTAGTAGTGTTCTTCGATTATATGTTGTTGTTTTGTGTTGTCAGTTATTCTTCCTTACTTAACTTGATTAAAACCATGTCAACATATCATAAATCATCTTCATTGTCTAATGAACAGGTTTTAAGTCTTTTGTTTTTTTGTTTGTTATAAATATGGCTTTCTGAATTCTGTTTATTTTTGGAATAATGTAAGAGATGCCAAATACTCTAGCAGGGCGCAGAAGAAAAACAGAAAAAGGGAAAAAGGGAAAAATGAAGTAGAAAAAGAAGAGAAAAAAAATAAATTAAAACATATAGAAGAACATAGAGTTGACGAAAACGTAAAAAATGAGGAAAAAATGAACAAAAAGTCCTAGACCATGAACGATAAGAT